AAGCGATGCCTGGGACGATGTCCGCTGGCACCTGCTCATTTGTGCGCAATTTGCCAGCCGGGTTGCAGCATAATCGAGGAGCTCCAGTGCTGGCTGGTCCTGGAGCAGAACCTTTAAAAGTTCTGCTCGCATGCCAGTTAACCCTGCCGCGCCGCCTCGCTCCGCACCGCTGCGACAGCAGTCGGGCCGAGCCGGAGGGGACTGTTCGGCCGGTAGTCAGCCACGTCAGACGGCACTGCCGTGCGCGGTCGCAGCGGGCGGCGGGCGGGGTCTATGAACATACGCCAAGTAGCCTCGTTGCCGGGCGCAAGCTCAGCAGCCGTGAGGAGATGGCGGGCCCTGGAGAGCTCGCCCTTCCGCACCTTGGCGCTCGCTTGTTCGCGTTTTCGCTCGGCCATGACCTTGGCGTCATCGCCACCGCGCTGACTGCGAAGTGGGTTGGATCGGCTTGCTGCGGCCAGCAGTTACAACCACTCTCCCCGCCGGAAGGCCAGCTCGGCAGAGCCATTCGTCGCGCCCCGGAGCGGCGTGGAGGTGCGTGCGAGCCACAAGCATGCGCGGTGCGAGGAGAAACAACTTCCACGCACGCGATGCCGGCGCTTCATCGTGGGTCGGCGTGGTTTCGAAAGAGTCGCGGAGCAGCTGCAAAGCCGTGGTCAACGCTGCACGCACGGCGGCTCTCATGAAGGGTGGCACGTCTGTAGTGTCGGCACCGGGCATGAGCTCTTCGGCCAAGTCCACCGCATCTAACGCAAGCAAAGCCGCATTGGGGACCCCGGCCTGCGTCTGCGTCGCAGTCGCAGCGTCATCACAGTCTCCTGCTGGGCAGGTGGGGACGCCCTCGCATCCTTCGTCGGCGTTCACACTGGACGGCGAAGGTGCCTGGCATGCCCGTGGAGCGGTGGTGGGACGGAACTGTCGCGCCTGGCCCCGAAGGTAGGCCTGCACGCTCTTTGCGCTCAACTTCGCACACAACGTAAATCCGTGCCGGCGGAGGCCAGGTTGCGGTTCCGCCTGGCGGAGGAGGAGTAAGGGGCTCCGAAAGGACGATGACAACGACGACCGCAACACAAAAAAAACCTTCAAAAGCTTCCTCAAGACAAATCCAATGCACGGCGGCGACGGCGGCGGGTGGTGGGTGAGGCGGGCGGGGCACGAGCGAGGGCGCCGTGGAATGCTGCCGCGGCCAGGCGTTCACCCGGCGGTGGCATCGCCTCGCATCACTGGCAGCATTGCGCGCGCACGCGCAAACGCTGCTAGAGCTGCCTGGCTTGCACAAGGTCGGAAGGCACTGGTGGGATCGACCCGCGCAGTACACCTACCAGCTAGCTCCAGCGCGGTTCGGCTCCTGGGCAGGCCACGGAACCGGCCGAGCGTGGAGGAACGGCAATGGTGGCATCGGTACAGCAACGAGCGCGAGGGCAGCCGCTGAGAGCTCGCCGAGCTGCGGCCCTGCCCGCTCGGGCCTCGAGGTCTGGCGCCGCCGACCGCGTTTGTGTGACAACGCCGCCGACAGCCTCTCCGAGGCGGGGCCACTCACCACGCGTGAAAACGTCGCCCCGTCGCTGCAGGGATGTGTGTTTGCCCTGCAGCATCCTGCAGCTCGATGGAGAAGCATCCGTGGGGCAAGAAGGAAGAGTTTCCAGCCCCGGAGCTCGTCCTGCGGCGACGCGCGCTCGGAGATGAATTGCAGGCCAGTCCGGAGCGCCCCTGGCAAGGAGGGGACGCCCTGGAGCGTAAGGACACGGTCACACAAGGTCTCTTCCAGACAAATCCCATCAAGGGACTCTAACCCGACTCGGAGGCCATCCTCCGCTGCGCGAACGCGGCGTTCTGGTGCGGTGCTGGGCAGTGCATCTGCCTCGGACCTCTCATCAGCACCAGCCCCATCTTGGGGCAAAGGTAGCTGCGGAACTGCGACATGAGGGCAGGTCCGCCGCGGCTGCGTGCTGGCCTAGAGCGCGTGCACCAGCGGGTCGCACTGCCCTCGGCCTGCAGCACCTCGTGGACCTGACGATCGGCGTCCCACGACAAGAACTCTTGTGTGGCGGCATCATGGCGGGCGGTACTGTTAGTGGGGAGTGTGCGGAGAGCGTACTGCGCCCGAGGGCTGGCGCAGCACGACAGAAGTAACCATGCGACTTGGGTGTCTTGCAGTTTCGGAAATTGGTCGAGGAGGGCGGTTTGACGGTGGAGTGTATGTTGCAAGTGCGCGTGAACGAACTCGGGGGTGCCGAAGGGGCTCCGAGCAGCACGAGGCCCGGTTGGGCCAACACGGCTGCCAATCGCGTATTGGTGTGGTCGACAAGCATCGGTGAGGGACTTTGCGAACTGTTGGGCCAGTGTGCGGGCAACCACGCCTGTGCATCCTGCGCGCAAGCCTGCAGCAACTCGCAAAGTCGACGCGGATTCGGTTCAGCATTCCGTTCAGCGCATTCCGCTCAGCTGACGCTCCTTGCAACGTCCTCGGAGTAATGGACGGTCATGTTCCGTGGACACGTCAGACATTGACCAAGCTGCGTTCGAAATCGTCTGGACCTCCGCCACGGTGTCCCAAACACGCAGTAATCTGTGCCCACATGCATGACGTTTGCTGGTTCTCGGTCCAGTACCACAGACCACTCCCGAAGCGGGCCTGCCTTTCCGTCGAGGAGCGAGGCCTCCCTTATGTGGACGGACAATTGCTCAGGACCCGGTCATGCTGCAAAAAGGAGTTGTCTCATGATGCTTCACTGGCAAGCTCCGGCCGGTTCAAGTCACTGAAGACAACTGCCTGGGAGAGGTGCTCACGCGGAGCAAAAGCAGACGGTGGCCCTGCTGCAAGCCATGGGGCAGCCGCGGCAGTGCTGGCTAGGGACGTGCGCATCTTGGTAAGTCGCAGCCGCAGGTCTTGTCGCGCGCGCAGCCACTGTCGTGACCTGTGTTGGCCAGCGACAGCTCGCCTTGAACCGTCACGTGGACGCATTGCGGTTCTGGAGACGTTTGTCAGGTCAAGCGCCGGTCATGATGCCGCCTCCCCCTTCATGATCAGCTCGTCTTGACTCTACTGACTTTACTGGCTCATACGAGGGCGTCTGCAACATAATGCTGAGCGGCAGCATGGATTCCAGCAAACAAGCGATGTGCTCAACCTATGCCTTGAAAACCAGAAACACCCTCAAAAGGCAAGGTCGGCATGGATTTTTCGCCGTCTTCGGCTGCGACTAGAACTTCGGCTTCGCTTTCGACGTGGTCTCCTTGCCCTCGGTTACGGGCAGGGCTTTGCAGACATCATGGCTGCAAAAACTGAAGGATACTGAAGGCACCTTCGAGACCCAACGCTAGACTCGCACGAGGCTGGCGTAAGGGCTCCACTTCTCGGTGCGCTTTCGAGATCGGCTACGGCTACTGCCTGCGACAAGGACTGTAAGATGATTGAAGATGTGAGACACTCCGCTCGGATTTGCTTGCTTCAAACTCTCCTCGGTGATCCCGTCGAAGGCCGCGGCGGTTCTTTCGCTCCTTCCGTGCCTCAATTGAAGAAGTCACACACACACACAAAGACACATCTCCTCTAGGCGTGTAGTGAACATCGAACACAGCTTGAACACAGCTCCATATTTGGTGCCACCTGCTGGATGCTGCTTTTTCCTAAATGATCTGATCGATACTTCGCTCCCCTTTGTTAGTTTTTTCGGGCCATCGACGAGGGCATTCTGATTTCAGTACAGAATAAGCTACCACAACACGTGCACAAGGTCAGCATCGCCCGCATTGCATACTGCCTCCGCTAAAGGTCAGGAAAGGTTCCTGCATGCCTGTCAGGTACACCCCAGTAGAAGCCGGACGACTGCAAATCTTGGCTGACCACCCCTTGCAGCCCTTGCAGGCCCGGCAGCCGAGTTTCCCCCTGAGGTTGCGACGCTGCTGCTGCTACTTCTGGACCTGCATCCAGAAGAAGCCCCAGTGACTCTTATGCACCAGGCGAAACGCCTGTGCAGACACACTTGAAGGAAAGAAACAGTTTTTGCGGGTCGTCTTTGGTCTCCGAAATGCAAGATGGCTCTGTTAGACAAGTCCTTGATCTACGATACGGCCGCCGTGGTTTCACAACTCGACAGGCGAAACTCGGACATGGTATGTGAGCGTTATGTTTGCCAGTCAGTTTGGCAACGAAAAACTGCCGCGGGCAACAAGTATCGCAAGTGCTCTCATGTCTATGCTTGCACATTTCGAGGGTGCAGGCCACGGGGGGGAGGGGGCCGGTAAAACGCACGTGACCCCGTTGACTGTTTTGATCATTTCGATCTTCTCAAAATCCCCTTGACCTGCTTGACTCTCTTGACTCGTTGAACATCTCGTTTAGACACTCAAGACGACAAGGATGCTCAAGACGGTCAAGACCTTCAAGATGGTCAGATGGTAACGACTTTCAATGACTCGATACTTTGGTGATTACACTTTGGTGTCGAGTTTCACGAGTAAGCTGGCCACCTGCTGGGCTTGGGCGGAGACGGTGATGAGGAACTCTCACCTTGTGAAGCTGTGCATGGCCAGGAGGGGCGAAGGAAAGGTGGCTTGCAATCGGTGGTAAAGCCTCGTCCATGCTTCTGCTCTTCTGCTTCCTGCTGCTGACGCTTCTTCTGGGCGTCTTGCTCCTGCCTGTGGGACAAGCAGCATACAATCGCCGGAAAACTCTGCCTCTGCCGGCCTTCTCTTCGTGAGTTCCGCCTGCATTCGCGCTATTTCCTGACCAATGATGTGGACAAAACATGACGAAACCATCCCCATCAGCCCGTTGCATAAGACTCACTAGACCGTCGTTCGACGCGTTGGACATCCCGTAGCCACTGCCGATCCGACAAGCACTGAAAGACCCTCTTCAACCTCCGAGAACCGCTCTGTCGTCTGAGGACTACTTGGATGGGTTCCCCCGAAAAAATGTCCTGCTCTTTGGCTTGGAGCAGCCTGGCGGCAGCTGAAGTGCAGCAAGGAGGTCTGTTCTCACTGTCAAGGGTGGGCTACGCGGCTGCACCGTCCGGGGCCGGCGGCGCCTGGCAGCCTCTTGGGGACGAAAGGATCGAGCTTCCGCTTTGCGCTCTTCGCGAAGCTTCTCCTCCTCCAAAGCAGCCCCGAGTCTATATTTTGGGGTTTAGGGGTTAGGGCTTGAGGTTTAGGGTTTGGGGTTTAGGGTTTGGGGTTTAGGGTTTAAGGGGTCGGGGATTTTTGGCTACCTCAACATCGTCATTTCCCAAATGTTTGGCCTGCTCCTTTCGCTTCCTCTCGGCGCGCTCCTGGTTGAAGCTAATCCAACACCGCACAATGCTGCGCATTGCTGCGCCACCAGCCAAGCCTGCTTTCTGCGCTCCGTTTCCTCACGTTTACGCCGTTCTGACTCTTGCCGGCGCTCCTCAACCAGATCATGACCCGACAACACTGCACACCAGCAACATGGGAGAGAACACAAAGAAAATACTGGAAACTTGAGACACTGTGATCGAGAACTGAGTGTCGCAAGGGGACCTCGAGTTCGAAGGGCATGCGGAGCTTTTCCTCGCGGGCCATGCCTCGCACCATTGTGCACAAATAGCGCAAGCAATGTCGGATTACGGCGTAGAGACCCCCCTGGCAGGATCTTCTCCCAACGCCGAGGCCGCAGCAGGATGCTTCGAACTCTCGCTGCTTGCCTTACGTCTATACGTGGCGCGTGTGTCGGCAGCTCCCCGGCATCATGCGCAAATGGCAACGTCTCCGATGTGTTGAGCCAAAGGGCGCTCCTGCTCTTCTTTCTCAGCTCGCTGCTGAGCCTTCATGCACAGGGCCGTACAGGGGATTTGCAGACGGTTGAGGCTGTGCCTCCTCCTCCTTTCGGAGATCTTCCTCCTCCTGTGGCGCAATCACACGCTTTGAGTTCCTGTGGCTCGGGAACACTGGCCCAGTGCCTGCTGCCGGCGTCGCAACAAGAAGTTACTTCGTCGTTGCAACTCCTGCAAGAAGTCGTTGTAGCTGCATCAACGGTTTCTCTAGCTATATATATATATATATATAGACTTGAAAGGTGCCATGTTGCAGACTTCGGCACCTGCTCAAATTTTTGGAGCTCTGCCGCTGCTTCCTGGCTCGAAGCACACGGAGCTCTGCCAAGCGCCGCTACGAAGACTGGGCCTCTGTCTCACGCTTCCGCCTCTTGGAAGCTTCTTCCTTGAGCCTGCTCAGGGCGAGACTCTGTCTCTGCTGACCTTTCAAATTTCGTGAGAGGTGCAAACATCTCACGGCCTGCGTCGCTCTTCTTCACGCACGCGCTTGTGGTCCTGCACTAGCAGAGCAGATAATACTGCGCGAGTACTTGTCTATGCTCGTTGCAAAGGCCATGTACTGCCACACAGCTTCGGAAGAAGTGCCTCCTCCTTGGCTTTCTTAGCTTTGGCATCCTCTTGGGCCACCGTCTTCCTTACGAGATTGATTGCAGGTCAAGGCAGATGCGAGAAGCAAAGGCGACTGAGGCAGCTAGACTCGGCCTGCCCACTGAGCCAACCACGGCGGAACAGGCACGTTGACCGGCCCAAATGGATTGCGCACGATTGCCTGCCAACGACAAAAGCTCCAAAGCGACCCTGTCCGGAACAAAAACTCTAAGACGGTTCTTGCCCTGTGACCGGCCATATGCTGTAAGCAGCGCCATCAGAGCAAAGTCCCTTGCGCCTTTTGTGGGGTTGGGCTTGCCTTTTTCTCCTCACAGGCACTTCTTTGGTTTTCAGAGTGCTTCAAAGCTGTCAGTCAAAGAGTCCTCCTTCGGCTCCTCTTGGTCCTAGAGGCGCGGCTAGAGGTCTTCTCTGACTTCCGGAAGGTGGGGTGAAGGGAATAGTCCTCCTCCTCGTCGTCTGGAGCCGGAGCCTAAAGGCGAACGGGAGAAACACGGCAGTTTGCGTGGGTTTGGCCATTTTTCTGGCCTCATCGTCATCATCCGACTCCAAGGCCTGGGCAGTGCTTTGAGAACACAGGCACAACAGTTTGCATCAAAAACCTTCTGGAGGCTCAGGCCCTCCTGGCTTCCTTCTTCCTGCAGCTGTTCGTTCTTCTGAAGCCAATTCATCCGCTGCTGTGATTTCACTTCCTTGCGGGTACTTTGACCTATAGTAGTGGGTCGTGGGCCATATTGGGCCTTCGCCACTCCAATACGAGCTTCTGCTTTCTCTCTTCTTCTGCTCGTCGCCGCCTCTCCTCACATGTCCAAAACGCGGCGGTGGCTGTGCATCCCACGGCCAAGGCAGCGCTGTGGACACACGCTCCACACGGCCCACACGGCCCACACGGCCCAGCCCCGTTGCGACCGGCTCCCAGTGCTCCTCCTCCTGTCGCCGGAAGAACTCAGCCTCATCAGCAGCCATCCGCCGCCGCCTGGGTGCACAGTCAATGGGGCAGCTTACTCTTGTGGCGGCCAAGATTTCAGGCTCCGGCTCGTCCGCTTCCCTGCGAGCCTCCTCTACCAAGAACTCCCGAATCTCATCCTGACTTCGTGGGGCACTTTCGAGACGCTTGTGAACAGCACACGGCATGCCTCGGCTCGTTCCATGAACTCTGTCCTCAGCTTGTCACACTGGTCACACTGGTCTGGAGATTCTGCAGTCTGCTTGGGGCACCGACTCAAACTCTTCGCGAGCTTGCTCTTCCTCAAGGAAGATGGCCGCCTCAACCTGCACAGAAGTTCTGGGATGTTTTGAGGCCAGGCACACTTCCACGGCTCCCGAGTCGAAGCTCCAAGCTCCGGGCTCGACGGCTCTCATTATCTGCCTTCTTCATGGCACGCCCCTCGGCTGCCTGTGATTCGCGCTCCTTCCGCCGTCTCCCTGAAAGCAGCCGGTGGCACAACGGCACAGATCGGGACAGTCGACTCCGACAGATCTGTCGATCGCAAGGATCGTAAGGCCACTACGCCGCTCCTGGTCAATCCGTGCCTGGATGTTGCATCTTCGGTCCAAAGGCGATCTACTTCACTGAAGCTTGGAAGTGTAGGGCAGGCTAGACACGAAGACCTATGAAATGTGTTTGCGGGCACTGGGCCACGCCTGCTCAGCACGCCGGCTCTCGCGGTCAGCTTTGGACATTGCCTCGGTTTGCGTCGGTAGCGTGACGCCAGGGCTGCCGGTGGGCTACCGGCCATAAATGCGTCTGTTCATGCTGTTCTTTACCTTGATGTGAATTCAAGGGCTTACAAGACCCGGGCTTCGCCCACAGCCTTGTCGGCACTAGGTGTCCGGAGGCTTTTGCAGCTGGCCTCCTTTACCTTCCTTGCTTGTCATGCGCACGTCAATCAACCAGCACGACAAGTGAGAAGTCTCGGAGCTCGGCGAGAGTCTCGGCGGCTTCTGCCTGGGCAAAAGAGATCTTACTCCAAATCAGACCGCTTGCGTAGCAGCGCAAATCAATGAAGCTGCCTGTCGGATCATCTCCAGATAGTGATGCTCGGCGTTCAGCAGGTACTCCTGCCAAGCCTGAACTGACATTTTGCATCCTTTATCCGCTCTCTCTCTCAGCACTCCAAACAGCAGCAGAAACCTTGGATTCCATATCCATGGCGCGCATAGCCTTAGGCCCAATGGAGAGAGTTTGGGCGTGCTTCAAGATGATACAAACATGGCACAGCCGTGCGCCTCGTGCTCCATTTCAAAGGCCATTTGTGCCTGCCGTTTGCGCTCGGCCTCCACAAGCTGCGTGCGTGGTCAGCATGCCCAAGCTTACACAGGCGCAGGACTGCCGCAATGCCTCAAGAAGCATCAAACGAATGCCCCATTCATGGCTTTGTGAGAGCTACGTGCGCGGGGCCCAAGTCCAGTAGCCCCCACATACAGTCCGGGATGCCTGGGTTCTCGAAATGCTTCGGTTGCCTTCGTTTCCCATCAAATTTAGGGTTGAAAGGTTTCCCAGCCAATGAGCCTTTGAGAGGTTTTTGACAGCTCAGGCAAGACCTCATCTCGGGGTTCGCTTTAAGGCATTGGCTTTGTCATTTCTCCCTTCCGTCAAGGCATTTGAGGCGTCGGGAAAGTGTCCATCAAGTGGCCAAACCCATACCATGCTGAGACAATAGCCTTTCAGATTTTGAGATTAGGACAATACTGCACCCGGTATCCGTTGATTCAGTCGATGGTGTGTCGCACATCACCCGCCTCCACCAGTGCCACGAACATTCGCCTTCGCTGTTTGCTGAGCGAGGCATCTCTCAAAGACGCTGCAGCAGCCTCGTCTGCAGATTGGCGAAAGCGGAACGAAATATAACGAAGCAAAGTTCCCAGAGTACAGCGGAGCCTGAAGGCGCTTGCAGCGCTCCAGATCTTCCGGCTGCGCCGCCTCTGCAAAGAAATTCACCAGCCCCGTGACCCCGTGTCCCTCTGCTAGGCTGCTAGGCACAATGAAGCTCAGCACCGGGTACCTGTTCCAGCACGGCAGCAGCGAAGTCTGCATTTGCAGCTTCCCAGAGCACTCGGCGACTGGCGAAGAGAACTGCCTGAATCGATGAGCAGCGCGGCTGTGCGGCAGAACACCACTGCCCCAAAATGCTGCCACATGCTGCCTGCCGCTGCTTCTCGGCTTCTGCCGCAGCTGCCTGTCCGGCAGACGTCTAGCGCCAAGCTGTGTTGCTTGAGCTACGCCGCACCCAGCAGTCTCTGCAAGGTTGAACTGATGAAAGTAGTATGCAGACGCAATGCGTGCAGGGGTACCATGCTGTGTAGCTGCACCTCGCGCTGACGAGCTGCTGCTTCTTCTGCTTCCTTCCTCAGCCGCTCGGCCTGCCCAGTGCGCGGAGCGTGGAGCTTGCTACTGTAACCTACAACTAGTCATACTCAATAACCAGTTAGTAAAGCATCCTTCAAGCATCAAGTAGCGTCCTCGGCTGCCTGCGCCAACAGCTCCTGACAGCAATCGCTGGTGACCGCTGGTCAGCCGCTGGTGCTAGGCACGGTGTGTACGCGGCTGCTTGCACCTTCTCCCGCGGACCCAGGACATGCCTGGCACGGTGCAGTCTTCGGTTGGGCTACTCATGCTATTCATGCTACGACCTTGAACCACCCAACCGGCAACTCGATGAGCCTCAGGCTTTCTGCGCATGTTCCAGCCTACTTATCCCCCCGCCGAATGCTCCCGCGGCCGACAAACCCAACAGCCCAGTAAGCAGCCGAGCTAATGTCTTAAACCTCATCTTGACAACCACCACGGAAAACAGACAAACATCCACGGAGGGAAAGATGATGGTGGAAAAGACAAGCCCGTGTCTTGCCGGCTCGCATACGAGCCGGCGAATCGAGAAGAAGCTTTGCCAGCATCGCTTCCTCTGAAAGCATTTCCTCTGATCACTGCCGGGGCATCAGAGGGGGTGGAGCACGAACTGCGCTTCGGACCGGAGCAGAGCCTGCACTCTGCGCGCCAAATCAACGTCGATCAACGACAACTAAACCCCTTTCAAAACGATCCACCTCGCATACTTGGTGCTAATTACTTTCGATCTTGAGCCGGTTCCCGAACCTTGAAGGGCATTGAAGGGAATCAAGTCCTTTCTGGAAGGGACCAAGTTGATTAACTGTACATTCGAGTCACATGTTTAAGATCTTTTCGACCCTCACACACGTAGGCTTCTGTCCCAGCAGGCCTTCTCAGTTTGCACGCGGAAAGTGGGACAGAGTGAGTAGCGGTTGAGGCGCGAAAGAAATCCACAAAACATTGCAACTTACGAGGAAAGCCGCGACGCTGGTGAGAGCTGAAGAGCCGTGGAACCGACCGCTATCCCTCCCCTTAACCCCTTTGCTTTGCTTCGTGCTACAGCTTTCTATGTTCAGACTCAAATACGCAAGGATGGCACAAATAGCCCTACAACTACAGCCGGGGCGACTCACAACGTAGCTGCGCCAACTCGCCGGGTTGGGGCTGCTGGAAGTGGACCTGCAGCCCAGAAAGCATCTGAAAGCCACGCCTTCCCCACCTCGTAAGTTCGTTGTATTGCTGTTACGGTCGGCATTGTATAATTCCTTGAATATGCTCTCATGAATCATGACTCTTAGTCTTATTGCTCTATCTGATTACTAGGACTACGACTACGACTACTACTTTCTACTTGCTACTTACTGCTTGCTACTTGCTACTTCCTACTTGCTACTTGCTACTTGCTACTTGCTACTTGCTACTTGGGCCGCGCACTGCAGCGGCGGCGTGCTGCGCCAGCTCCTCCAGGCGCACCAGGGCCAGGCCTAGGTGTTTCGTGTGGCTGTGGAAAGCTCAAACAAGAGCAGCATGGCAGCAGTAGCTTCTTAGCCGTAAAAACGATAGGAATGAAAGTTAGAATCGTAATGTGCGCCATTTTCTATTTATGTATTTTTGTATACTAGACACACGTGCATGCTTCGCACGCACTTAGTGACTTAGTGTCGGCACGAGCGAGGGGTTCTTGAGGGGACTCTGGGACCCTTCTGTGCACCTGAATGGTTTGAGGTTGGGGCTTGGGACTTAGGGTTCAGGGCTTGGCTTACAGGCTTAGCCCAGAAGCTGTAGGTCCCAGAAGACTGACGCTGACTAGGCTCCAATCTTGCACGCGCGGAACCCTGCGGCCAAGACGTCCTACCCCCCGAATTGCACAGTCAAAGAAGGTACTGTTTTTGTTAGTATCTTGATGTCTATTTTGTTTATATATATATATATGTATACATATACATATACATATACATATACATAAGCGTATGTATACTGAGTGGTGCTGTAAGGGAAATTTAGAATTATCCCAAAGCACTACCCAGTAGATGTATAATATGTGTGTATATACATATACATACTAATCATCATCATAATTGCCGAAGATTCTGTTGAATCTGTCATCCACAACTCCCTGGACATCGAGTTGACCAGGCACCCGGCGCCCACCGCGGTCGTCGCTTCCAAGTTGCATGGCCTCCGGAGAACGGGCAGCACAGACCGGCTCCGGCTAGTTCCCCATTTCTTTCCCGCGTCCTGCACTCCTCCGAAAGGTGTGAACAACATCTGCAGCTGCAGAGCGCTCCAGTCCCAAGGCCTCCAAAGATCGGCAAATGGGCAAAAGGATGGCCATCGGCGATCGGTTGCACGCAGTGTCCGGGCACCCCGCAGCCCAGACACCACCAAATGCGTGTCCGACAGATCCAGCTGACGCATTTCGGGCCCAACCTCTTCAAACTTCTTCGAAGGCACAGAACAATGGCGCAAAGCTTCATATGCCCTCGCCTGAAACGCCTCGGCGGGCTCGACGGCGGCCTCCGCTGGGTGCACCTGCGTGGCGAAATGCCGGCATGTGTCGGGTCATAGCTGGGCGTCGTGTTGTGCCAGGCCCCGACCGTCCACGCCGGTTGCTCATCTTCAGCCTCGCTGCTAGACTTCTCCCAGCCTGGACGCACTCTCGGGCGTGCTTCAAGCTTTGGCTGGGAAGCTTGGCGAGACCACAAATGAATCAAATGAGCCACCAGCGCAGGTTCCGACCGGTTTGCGGCAGCTTGACCCGTGCAGGTCCTGAAGTGGAATCGGCCCAAAAATGTAACGTGTGAGAGAACTGCTTCAAATCTGCCAAGGTGCTTTGCGTTGTCTTCATTGACTGCGGCGAAGGGGATCCCACTGCACACAGATGGGGCAAGAAGGACGGTATCAGAATGTTCCGTGGAATCTCTGCAGAAAGACTTGCGGAGCGGGCAGAACACCAGCCATTTAATGTTTACAAACTGAGGCTGGCAGAGGTTAGCTACTGAAAATCGCGGATGGGATCAGGATGGATCAGGCCTGCAGATTGCTCGTTGAGGTCCTCTGGTTGATGCATCTGATCCGGAGCAGCGCCCGGAGCATCTGGATCACCTGCAATGGGAAATCTTCCGAATGCATCGAAACCATGGAACACCATTGACCCTGGTTCACGCATGGCCTGAGGTCGATGTGAGCCTCAACGCAGCCTGAAACGACAGGGCATCTAGCAGAATCTAGCGCATCATGCATGGACAGCCTCTGCTTCATCATCCAGGATCTTTGCGCTGAAGCACTCATGGGCCTCCGACAGCACGCGGCCCATGTGTTAAGGAACACACACCAAGGGCCGGAGAGCAGTGCCAAACAAGGCGTCTGGGCTCCCCGGGCTGCGGGAGGGCTCTTGGCAGCCTCCGAGCCTCGGCGACGGCTCTCGTTCCATATAAAAAGCGGGGGTCTTTTTCAGGGGGGGCTCTCTGTGTTGAAGGGCGCCCTCAGTCAAGTCAAGTCAATAGTCTGACACTGGAGAGGTGGCAAGGCCATGGCAAGGCCTCCGACTCCTCCAGTCGAAGCCATCCAGCGCCTGCACCGCCTTTTGAGCAGCGCCGGCATCCTTCACATTCAGCTCCGAGTTCCGAGTTCCGAGTCTAATATAGTCTAACTAGTGACTAGTGATGACGAGTGGGTCAACAAGAGAGGCCAAGATGCCTGGAAGACTGCTACGGCGATCATACTTCCAGCACCTAAGCCGCTTGTCTCTGACACATCCTGTTTACTCCTGTTTTCGAGTCAAGCAGGCCAGCGAGACGCTCGACGGCTTCAGGTAGTGTGTCAAGACTGCCGAACCTGGCATCTGGGCAAGCTCATGAAAGGTCGCTTGCAGAAATCTATTTGAGGGACTTTTCTGGGCATGCCAGCTTGGCTTGGTCAGAAGGGCCGTGATGCGCGCGTCCAGTTGAGGTCGCACCTGGAAGTGGACGACTTAAGCAGTGTGCACAGATACGCACAGATACGCACAGATGCGCACGGATTCGCGCAGCATCGCGTGCCACCTCCAACGCCAGCCAGGAGACAGGGAAGTTGCCAAGCCTCAGCGTTCATGTTGCTGGCTACAGGGCATTCCTAGCCGCCTCCCCAGAGGCCGCCACAGGACCTTGGCACTGACCTGCCATGTCTGATGCGACCTGACCCGGACCTGGCCGTGCCTTGAGGTGATCAGCCTGGCTCCCTTGGTCTTCAGCCTCGCTGGGCCTCAGGCATCCATGAAACTACGATATTTTGAAGCCAATACCAAGCCTCCCTCTCAAGATCTACCAGGCCGCTGCTTCATCAGGCAAGATCAGGCAAGAACTAAGTTCGCGGCGGCTCCGTCGGAGGCTCTGTCTCACTGCCATCACTGGCTCTCGCCTGCAAAAAATGTTCTTCATCAGCTGCAAAGCAAGATCATGCTCTGCATCGCTGCTATCACCACCGACAAGCATGCCCGACCCTGCATCTAGAACAAGGAGCTAGAATAAGGAGCTCAGCCCTGACCCACGTGGCCACGACCTCTACCTTGCAAAAAATCTGCACCGCACACAACTCGCCATGCAATGTCGGGTCCTTGTGTTGGTCGTTGGTGCGGGACCCTGAGGGCCCAGCTCGCCTGGAATGGCGTAGAGTGGCAAGGCCAGCAAGGACGCAGTGCAAATCATGGCAAGCATACTCCCTTCTCCCTGCACTCTGCCTGACAAAGGTCTTGAAGATCTTCTTGGCAACCAAAGGGGACTCCTCTTCGCGAAGGCGGCTTAAACACTCTCGCGCCAACATAGGACGGGCCTCCAGCTTGGCGGAGAATCGCTCCCATGGATGGGCCGGACGGCCTCTCATATGCTGCCCTCTGGGGGGCCCTTATGCTACCTCATGCTACCTCCCTCTCAGAAGTCAGATCACACTCACTGGGCTGTCCTCTCAAAGAAATCTTTTTTGCACTGCTGCCCAGAGCAATGCCGCTATGGTCGCTGGCCCGGCAGTCCTCAAATTTATCCACGTTTGTGGCATCTTGGGTTCTTCGGCCAACCTTATCTGGGGTGCATCATCCCAATAATCCTGATGGTTCGCTTCTGTCGACCATCCTGAGCATTCTAGAGCATTCTTGAGCTGTACAGGATTCAAGCCAAGCAGAGTCGCTTGCACACGCTTTGGCTGCAGCTTCAATTTCCGGAGGACCATGACATGCGCCACGGCAGATTGCGCAGGGTTTCTCCAAAACCAGCGTCTGTGCAGAGCCATCTTTGGTGATCGTGTACACCACCACTCGCTCTACCTGGAAATCTGCCATGCTAGGGAACTACCATCTTAGGGCATCATTGGCAACGCTGACAAGTCAGCAGACAGGCCCAGGTGTAGCAAGACGTTGATGCTACAAGACTTCTGTGAGGTGCCTTTGCACTGCTTGATAGATTTTGCTTTCACACGTTCGCAGATGCTTTCGCTCTTCTTCACCAAGGCCAGTGTTTTCAAAGAGGGAACAGACATCAGTGCATCAGCGCCATATGGCAGTGAAGATGCGGTCTTGGATGTCCGGGCTAATTTGCCTCTACTCGTAGCCGTAGTAGCCCTGGAATATGCAGAGACTCAGGGAGACACTCAGACTCCTGCTCTGGACCTGCGCGCTCACAATGTTCACAGCATTCCGAAGCCAGCGAGGAGCGAGGGAGAGACTGGTCGCTGGTCCTCCAACCGGGCGCAAACTTGTCAACGAGGGCGCAGTAACCCTGCTTGGCCTCACAAAGGTAGACAACTCTGTAAACTATGCACGCAAGTTGACAGGCTTCTGAACTTCTGAACGAACGGTCCGACAATGTCCTACATTGGTCCTACATGATAATCTATGCTGACGCTGAACTATGCAGTTCAATTCCAAACAAAGGTCGCGGCAACATCCTTTTCCATGCAATTCCTGAGACTGCTCAGAGATGCTCAAAGCATGCACCCAAGGCAACTCTTACTGCAGTCAGAAGGAGTCAATAGACAAGAAAGAAAGCAAACCACATTTTGCAAAACGTACAAAGGCTTGCGCGACTGACTGCATGTGATCGCTTGACTGCCAAGCTTCAATTTCGCCCAGGCATCCCACTTTGAGCGGGCAGTCACGTTCAAGGGGCCGGGCGGACTTCCAAAAACGGGGCCTTCGATTGCCTCCGTCACCGTCTTGTCTTCGACTCAATGGACAGCGGAGGCATTGAAAGCGCGCCTGCTTCTGGTAGGCGTAGAGCTGCAACTTCTCATCACTTGAGAGCAACAAGCCCTGACAGTGGCAACGAGCAACGAGGCACTTTGGAGCTGGAGAGCTGCTCGGGACATCTCGGAACAGAGGCGCCTTGGCCGCCTCTTGTGCCGCGGCAAAGCGCCTGTTGAGCTCTGCAAGCCGAGCCCGTCGCTCCGACTCACGCTGCTCCTGAACTGCTGCTGTTTTGTGATGCCCGGTGTGAGGGGCTTGTCTTGACACTCTTGAAACCGTGCACAGCATCTCGAACCCCGAGTCCTGGAAGGATCGGCCCAACGGCAGCTGCAGCTGGGCAGTTTCGGCCTCCGAATTATTCCGCGATCCCCGACATATTTTAGAGAATTTCCAGTGCCCGGTGATCTGCTGCCAAAGCGCCCCTTCGCCAAGCTTCCTCTCAGGGGGGGAGCGAAGCCTTGGGAGTTGGAAGATTCGGCAGCTGCAGGGCTCTGTCATGCTCTGTCATGGGCGCATCTTGCAGCCACGAGGCATCTCTTTGAAGCCTCCGAAGCATCCGATGAGTCCATCACCACAGCACAGCGCTCTTTTGGGAGCTGGCCGTGGACTCTGAACCTGTCGCCGAAGATTCGCGGAGATGCACGGAGGAGGAGAGCAACACCCCAAGCAACACCCCAAGCAACACCCAACCTGGGTGTCCGAGCTGCTGTCTACCTGAGCGCATGACAATCTTCGGGGTCACTCGAACATTGGCCTCCCACTCGTGCACCGTAATCTCCACTGTCACCCACCGTTGTCACCCAGATACACTCTGCGTAGATTGGCCCAGAGGGGCGGAATCCTCCGAGTGGGAGGGTGGAGCAGGTGGCGCCGTTGATCCGGTGGCCTGCGTGGATAAAGGCGGCCGGCGCAAGAGAGAAAACATACTGGGCCTACATGTGGGCTCAAGTTTACAGCGGAGAACACCACGGAAAGCAAAAACTAAGCAATCAGCTGGGGGCCCTGCCGGTGAGACTTCCTTTGACCCCCGCGGACTTGCCTGTGTTAACAGCGCCTTCAAGGCATTGAAGCTCTGCTGAGATCGTGGGCAAGAACATCTGCGTTCAGATCGTATCTGAGGGCACAGCTGCCGCGGCACCTCGAGACTTGCCTGGCATGCAAACCCTGAGTAGAACTACTCATCAAGACAACTTCTCGAATGCGTGAAGCTGAGAGAACTGGTGAAGCTGAGAGAACTGGCTCTGGCAAAAAGGAAGCGCTAGGACGCTGGGAACAGGCGTCGAAACCGACTCCAAGCTTGGCATGCTCGGCATGTAACGAGAAGTTCAGGCTTGACACAACTTGTCACAAATTGTTGTTTTAAGTTTTAACATCCATGCCGGTCCATGCCGCTATCTCCTTCCAGAACAAGACTTCAACACTTCAACCGGACAACCAGCTGTCACTGCGTGGTGGCGAAGAATTCCATGTGTTCACCCCAGCATGGACCGGCACCTGGTGGGGCACGGGCCCTCTTTGGCGTCGCAGCACTTGCAATCCTCCTGCTACGTCGCACGGAAGCACAGAAGATTGCAGCGGAAAACGCCACAAGAGCACTGCCCTTGGCCTTCTTGCAGAGGTGCTGGAAGTGGATTGGGTCACGACTTCCTTCCACTGCGAACCGAGAACCCCTGGAGAAGTGCGCACCTTCCCGATTCCAGGCCTCCTTGGCATCTCCCGTATCTCCTGCGCCACCATCCTCCGAGACCTTCGCCGGCTTCTCCGACTTGCGGCCCAGCAGCGTCGGCTTCGAGCCGCGCCTGAGGCCCAAGCAAGCCAAAGCCACAGCACGCCACAGCAGTAGTCTGTCTCAGCAGAGAAAGGCTTCCAAACCCCTCCCCCGGATCCTCTGACTTGGCGGCAATGGCTGGACTCCCAGCAACGGCTCACTGGGGTCGTATACACCTAGGTCACTTGAGCACGCTGCTCAGGGAAAAGAGCCACCTCATGTCGTGGGTGCAGGGAAGACTTGTAGAGTCACGTCACCACTTCTGCGGCATCCAGACGAACCACAGCCCATTCGAGCTGGGCAGCAGAGTCACTAGATTCACTAGAAGCAGGCCTAATCAAGAATCAACTTTCAACTCTGCCTGCATTTGCCTGCATTTGCGTGAGAGAAACACAGTCGCATCTGCCCGTCTACGTAAAGTACATCCCATGACAAGCTGACAGTTCACAACAATCTCATCGGCTATAACTACAAGGATGATTGCCCGCATGTCCTGAGCCAATCTGCTGGGGTCTGCATTGAATCACCACAGGTAGCGGATGGCGAAGACAAAAATATCGTAAATGCATCCGAAGACTGTTGCTTGCAGAATTTGCAAAGCCTGCAGCTGCCCTCTTCTCGGCATTACTTCGAAGGTCCATCCCATCCAACTTGGACACTGCCTCGCACAAGTGGGCTTGAACACAGTTGGGCACATTGGGGCACGTTTCGGCACGTTGGGGCAGGTCCTGGGTGGCAGCCGATGCTTCCACGAAGGCCGCGTAGAGCAGTGGTCCTCGCGGAAGCCCGTTCAGTTGGCAACTGTACTCATCTGCTGCTGATGAAGTATGATGAAGTCCTTCATTCTCCGCAACGACCTCAAGTCCACTTGCCGCTTCGCTTTGGGTGGACGACGCGCTGAGATTTCTGAGATCTCTACTGGTGCCAAAGCCAATTCTCCGAACCGTTCAAGCCTCGGTCTCGACTCAGATTCAGCTAAGCTGCCAGCAGCGACTTTTCAATGCCTTTCAGATTCCCTAAGCTGTCTGCAAGCGCGCCAGTCGCTCGGGAAGCAGCAAGCGGCTGTCTTCCTGCATCAGCCAGGCTCTTCATGCTGACCAGGATCTACAGTACTCAAGACACCTGCTTCTTATGTGACACGGTCGGCTCCCGGCCAAAACACCCATTTTACTAGCTGAGGATCTGCTGACTACATGGACTTCTGGCACCTCGACCCATGAGGCCGGGAAGTTCTGCAGCTTGACCAACCTCGCAAAGTGTTCAAACATCGGAACACTTCCCTGAACCGCGTGAGGCCCCATGCACCTGTCCACCGTCCTCAAGTCTGCTCAACTTGTACTCAAGCTTTCTCAAGCCCCAAAGCTCAAGTTGTGCTCAGGCCTTCCTCCGAAAAACACAGCGACCCATTGCACTCACACCATCTTGCAGGATCTAACCGGAATGCGGAATGACATTTGACTTCAGCCCGATCAGCCCATCAGCCAGGTGCAATCCAAGTAGCGACCCCGCAAAAGCTGGATGGCGAGCGCGCACCTGATCTCGCATCAACTTGCACAAGACCGTGAAGGGGGAATGAAACACACCAGTGGACTCGCGCAGGCCTCGTCCTGATCACTCGGAGGTTCGGTTCCCTCTGAGTCTGACTTTGGAACATCTGCACCTGGCATTTTCCTCCCTCTGTCAACTGGGCCGTAATGAGCATTTAAATGACAAAGGCTTCACCATCTTCACTATGTTTCACCTGCCTGAGGACCACAGCAATGCAGCAGCGGCTGCGGCCCCTGCCGCGTCCATCGAAGATGGCACATTCACGTCATAACAGCTACGCTGTTACGTTGCCAATTGCTGTCAATTTCATGCTCCGTAGATGTCGTCGTCACGTAAACAGAGACCAAGGTGCATCTGACGCGGCCTGCAGTGCCTACAGTGTCTTGTCCGCCTCTGTCAGCTCCATTCCAGAGGTTTGCTTTAAGGCTGCGTTGCGACGACAAACTTGCTCCGCTGAATCGAACCAAAATTTCTGACAGGCGCTGTACTCCAACTGTCAGAACACATGGTCCTGCAAATGCAAGCTTCAGGCCATCATTCGTGCCTTACACCCACGGAAGCTCGGAGTCTGTTTGACCGGCACGCAGAACCCTCTCAAGAAAATGACAGCATTTGCTGAGGCCCTCAAACGATCTTGAAAGTGCAACTGCAAGTCTGGCACAGGGTCACAGGTGTATATATTCTTTACAAGCTTGCCAGGCACGCAGACACCAGGGAAGTTCCTGGATATGTTTCAAACTTCAAGAAGGAGAGCGGTGGGGCATGTCTCGCTGGCGTTGCACCCAGCCCGATCGGGATGACCTCTTGTCAGGCCCTGCGTGCGACACGTATGCACGTCGCCAAAAACCTCTAGGCGCATGTCGGTCACGGGCCTTGTTGAGCCCCTGTTGGTCCTACACACTGTCAGGCGCGGTTGCTGTGCAGGAAGACCGCGCCGAAGCATAAGCGCCATGAATCTGCTTCACTGCAGCTTGTAACACCTCAGCAAACAACGCCAGAAAAATGCATCCAAGTGTTGTGCGATCTACAAACAGTTCAAAAGCTCCAACAGTTCCCAAAGCTCCAAGAGTTCCAGAAGTTCCGGAAGCTCACAAGTTCTAGAAGTTCTAAACGCTCTAAAAGGGTTTAGGGTTTAGGGTTTAGGATTTGTCTCGAAGCTCCCTCGCAGTGTTAATGCCAGTGGTAGAAGTTTAAGTAGGGGCAAGGTTTAGGGTTAGACTCAGGGTTGAGTGTTTAGAGGTTTATTGAAGTTTATTGTTTCACAAGCAACGTCTGAGCACTGACATGCCAGTTTTACATATCCGCTGAAACCCCTCTAACCATACATCTGTTTTTACATAGCTCACACACTCCCATGACCGTCGTCAAGGCTAACTCCTTCCATGCAAAGGTTTCTGCCATTCTTCTGCCATCTTCTGAATATGCAAGCAAGAAGCCGAGACATCTGGCTCCGGTAGATTCGCCACCTGCAAGGGGGAGCACCAAGAGATACCAAGAGGGCCCGTCAAAACAGTGAGCAAGGCAGCATGCAAAGGGCGCTTTGACCTGGAAGAAGCCAAAAGCATACCCCTGACAGTTGTAAGTTTAACCCCTTCTTAATCGTACCGATTCTCAGAGAACTCCGCAAATACATTCTGCACTGGGCCTTTGCTGTTGGCTATGTTGGCGGGTTCCAAACTGTAAAAGCTGTGCTGTCCGTAACTTTGGCTTTCGGGATCTTGCAGGGTACACCACTGCGGGGCCTCCAACTTGCAGCAGTGTTGTATAATCCTCTACTTTTTGCTGTCCAAAATGCACACAACCTCAAATAATGACTGAAGAACCTCGCATATTATGCAGAAAGGTATTTATGCAGAAAGCTTGAAAAGCTTCAAAAGCTAAATAGGGGGTACCCTTTTTTTCCTATTTTTCTTTCGATATTTGTTCTTTCTTTGTATTTCTTTCTTTCTGTCATTCTAAACGTCTATTTCCGCTATGTTGTATTGGGAAAACCTCTGCGTTTGCCAGAGCTTCAGGGGAAACCTCTATTTCCTCTTTATATTCATAGTAGAACCTCTGTTTCCTGCGCATCTTGATAGGAAAACTCTATTGCCTCTATGTCCTTTATGTTGATAAGAAACCTCTGCATCCTGTGAATGTTAGTTGAATAACCTCGAATTCCTCCATTTAACCCTGAAGCCAGATTCAGAACTTCCCACGTGATTTCCGCGTCATTCGGATGGCACCCCGCTCCACCCCCAAGTCCCCATAGTCTTACAACTCGAAGAAATACATTGAGTTCAGATTCGGCAAACCCATATCAAGTACTTTTTGGATTTCACGATGTTGAGGTTGGCTCACACTATACACTGGGTGATGGTACTCAGCGAACCCTTCCGCCAGAAATTCCAACGAACAAATGGGACTCCCAGGATTGCTCAGAACCACAGTGGACAACCCAGAGTGTGAGAAAAGTTTAAGTTTAAGCCTTTTACAGAAAGTATTTCCCATTGCAGAAACTAAAGGTCAAAGCGAAGTCCAAAAGTAAATCAGCGATCCTATGAGGTCCCTGCATGTGGGCGGCTGTCAATATTCCTTCTTCCCGGAACGGCAGATGCTGAAAAAATCATGGTGCCCCCTTCTGACGAGAAGGATAACGGATAACGAAGGTCTGGAATGGCTTTGGCAAGTACAGAAGTATAGTACGAATTGTGTAACCTATGCAAAATCCTCGCAAAACACACTAGCGCCTGTATTTTAAGACTCAGGCGTCGTCTTCGGAACTACGTCGAACTACGTTGTCTGCCGCCGAGAATTTCCAACATGTCAACCCCGTAGGGCTTGTTTCGGATGGAATGCATGTAGAGCTTTGACATCTAACGATGCATCGGGTCAGTTCTTTAACTTTAGAATCGAGGGCAAAGCAATATGTATTACGAAACTTTGGCGCTTAATCCGATGTCCTGTGCCTGGAAGCGGTGGATCAGGAAGCCCGTGTCTTGCAGCACAAAGCCTGATCTTACGACAAAGGGCGCTTCTGCTGCATCTGGTACTTCACGTCACAGCTGGCAGATTTTGGGCCGAGTCTGCCGAAAGGCCGAGCTTCACAATGCAAAACAGTAGACTCCGACGGTTTGCAGGCCAAGAAACGGATCTGATCCAGAGTCTGCCTGATGCAACATGATGCAACGATCACAGACCACAATTTCACTAGGTTCTGCTGCTGCTGCTGTTCTAATATGTTCAACCAGTACCAGGCTACCCTCTTCGCCAAACCTATCCTGTCGAAAAAGCCACCCAAGACCCAAGAACCCGCACCATGCAGCCCTCCTCAGCAAATCACATGCTTCGGCACTACGTGGCCGAGCAACCCACCCCGGCAAACGGACCTCACACGAAGCAGACGCCCCTCATTGGAACCCACGGAAAGCTAAACCCGGCTGCAAAGCCCATGCCAGGCTACTTTTGCAGCATAGGATTTTAAAAAGAACAAAAAAATGCAAAAAAATATGTGCACGAGATCTAGTGCACAAGATTCTCGACGACAAGCTCTCAAACTCCACCATGAAGCTCCCGCACAAGCAAAGGCCGACTTGGGCAATTTACACCAGCTCTACAGACCTGGATGTTTTAGTTCAGGCTCTTCTTTTTGGGCCGAAGGAGGTGACGTACACCGTAAGACTGAAACCCTGCAGCAGCAGCGTTGAGAGCCTTTGCCCGTTCAAGCAAGGCTGTCATCTAGCGGGATTAGAACAAGCGTAGCAGCAACTAGACGCCGTGCCACGCATGTCCCAATGCTAACATCGAGAACATACTAGAGAACTCTTGTGGCCCTGTCATGGAACGCCCCACACGTCACAAAGAGAGAACTACAATGCCCTCATAGACGGCTTTTGCCACCGGTTCGGCTAGGGCAGCTAGGGCACGAGGCCAAAGAAGAGCCGCAGCCCTCAGCATCCATGAGGTGACCAAAGACATCACCATCACCTGAAGGTCGGCTGTTGCAGAGCTCAAGGGACCCCGCACCAAACCCTGAACCCTGAACCCTGAATGAGGGCCGGGCTGATGATAGCCGCAAGCTCCCCCATCAGGTTGGAAGTCTCCCGCCAAACGGCTCGAAGCTGGCTCCGGCTCCGGCGCATCGACTTCATGCCGGAGGAATAAGACCGAAGGAGGTCAACTGTGCCTGCGCGTTGCGACATTGCGACACTCTGCGATCTGCCAACAAAGGTCGCAGCCATCGGCCTGCTTTGCAGTTCTCGTACTCGGCCAGGGCGGCAAAGGAGCGCTCAATTTGGAGAATCTCCTTAGCTTGCTGCGAAGATGTCGCGAACCATCCTTCTATTCCAGATGAATAACACGAGAACTCGCGACGAACGTCACTATTTTTGCTCCGGGTGTCCTCGCCAGCCACATCCAGGTAGCGGTCGAGCCTGTCACGCATTCGCCACCAGAGCTTGTCCAGGGTCACTAGCACCGTCTCCGCGTCTGATTGCTTCCAGGACTTTGCCGCCTGTTCTGGGGCATTCCACTGCGTGTAGGAATATTCAATTCCGTTCAGGACTGAAGAGAGGCTGTGCGAGCCGGGCTGAGCCTTGTGTGCGGCGCGGCTGTGCGCTCGGTAGATACCCAGAACCTATGTCGCATGCCGGGCACTAAGGAACAAGGCAACAGTCAATGGAGCATTTTCATGCTCTAGGCTGATGCGCTGTCAAACATTCTTGGCCCGCCTGTGCTTGCTGGCGCGTTCGTGCCTTTGACGAGGGGATGACGCAGGATACACAGGCATGCCGAATGACTGTGAACAGACAAAAACATCGGCCCCTGGCTTGAAGCTCTTGGGCCTCGCTGGCAACCTGCCGTCCTTAGCTTGCGCATGGCACAGATCCAAATATGCATATCTGATCACCTTGATCACTTGCCAGCACAGTCCACCTTCCGCAGAGCATCCTACGACCTGCGCCCTCGTCAGTCCACCAGTGGATGCCCGCATTGTCTGGTAAAGGTCGGACAGCTGACCCTGGAACTTCTGCACCTCACAAGCAGCACAGGGATGTCTCAGTGTCACCTCCTGTTCTCCTGTGAATGCGCAATGAGGTGCAAGATGGTGCAAGATCCTGTGCCATCTGTGAACCACGGTCCGAGGTGCGGATTCAAGAACTCAACATGTGCTCCGATGAATTTGAGATCAAAGTGCATCTTACACAGTCCCGTATCATCTCGTGCCATGCTGCCTGCCTGGCCACTGCGAGTGGCGTTGCCGTCAACGAAGGGCTGCGCAGTGTCAATGAACCTGCCGGCGGACGATTCTTCACGCTCCGACCCTCAACCTACCCTCATATGTTCGACCCCCCCCCTCATCGTTTTACTTTGGAGGTTTCGGAATGGAACCTTCAATTATTCAATAGGCTCCCTTTCGGGGACGTGGCACTATGACCCCACACGGACCCCCTTACTACCCCTAAACCCACACACTCCTCCATAAGCACCCTACAGACCCCCAATCAAGCCCATGCAAGGAACCCGCCAAGGACCCCCCTCAACCCATGAAGCCTCAACAGCCCTAAGCCCGAAGCCAGAAAGAGCCTAACTTCTCTGCACCCTGAACTTACCCTCAACGGGCTTTCTAGATTGTCGGGCAGGGCCGAAATTACAGAGCCGAAGCCGAAAGCCACCGCGAGCTTCTTTGCTGCGAGCCTTTGCAGGGCGTCTCTTGCAGTCAAGCGGGAAGTGCCGAAGGACGAGACCTCCGCAAAGCCCTTGAGCTCGGTGAGCATGGAACCGGTGGCAGCCGCAGCATTCTGCAAGAGCTCCTCCGCGGTGGAAGCTGGAGGCTTCGTGTTCACTTCGGGCGACTAGCAGCTTAAAGATGGATGCAAAGTGCAAGAGGATAGGTGAACGTGGTGGCAAGAACCGACGAGCTGTGAATGAGAAGTGGGGTAAGGAGGTTAGCGGTTAGTCCAGAAGCTCCTCCTCCTTGGGCTGGGTGTTCTGGGCGATGTGGTGCAGGTAAATTGTGTTGATCTTCAGCGAGTGGTCGATCTTCTTGTCCAAATATTCTGTCTCAGTCCTAGTTGCTTCCGTGGACCACTCCACCATCTTCCTCATGTTGTCGTTTGAGATCTTGGTGGCCTGCGAAAGTCCCAACACATTTCCCCCCATGTCCCCAGATATCCCCAGCAGGCTCATCATGGCTCATCATGGCTCATCATGGCTCATCATCCCTCCCCTGCCCATCCGCCTGCTCCAGGTTCTGAAGGATAGTTCGATCGCCGCGGATGACCGCATCGCGCACGCAGTGGATGTCACAGAAGAGCCGCGAGAAGCCCGACTGGCCAACATCGGAGCATGGTATTCTGCACTTCTACACGTTGCGAACACCCCTCTGCCACCCGTGCTGAGCGCTGGAAACTTGTGCGGTCACTCACTCCCACTCGTACACCAACTGCCCGCCTCGTAGGGATTGCAAGCGTTGTACCCCTCGATCTCAGTGGCCAAATCCACGGACTGCTTGCTGATGTCAAAGGGCAGGTCCACTATTGTGCCTGCAGCTGTCACACATGGAGGGCTGAAGCTTCGGAGCTAGGGAATCTACACGCATGCAGGGCCATCCCTTCTGAAAGACTAGTCTCCGATCACACTCTACCGCAGATAGCATCAAGCCAATGTAGCATAAGGGTGCTTAAATGAGCTTGATGTTGCTGCCAAGAGTCGCACTAAGTCTGTAACTTCACCGCAGATCTTCGGCGGTGAAGGCTGAGCACAAGCTGAGAGTTCGAGCTTCTACCTCTTTAGCCTACTACATGAAGTCCTCACAGTGTCCTCGTCTGCCCCACTGCTTTCAGAGGGCTCCGACAAACGCACAACAGCAAACACTGACGGACGCAGGCGGCCTCAACGCCAGCGCCAAGGGGAGCCACCTCCACGTTGGGAATGGAAGCGCAAACCAGCCTCCGGCTCAAAGCACTGACAAGCATGTCTCCAAAACACGTCTCTACACACGGCCTTCAGTGTTCATCAGACTGCACAACCAAGGAACTTGACCGCCGTGTGGACAACATTGGCAATGCTGTGATAAAGGCTGTTGCCAAACTCCATGTATCCGGAGAGCATATCCCGATTAATGTCTCCATTCATGCACCGCCTCCAGTCCTCGGCATGCGAACTTCATCATCGCACGTCTGAGTCACATCATACGCCCGGGCCTTGTAGAGCATGTTATCGGGAGCATACTTGCCATCGTCACCCGCCAGTCTGACGGGGAATATTTTGAAAAGATGTCAGTAGGGCCAGCACGAAGCAGCGCAAAGATGCATGAAGCATGCGTCCGCGACTGTCCGTGACTTCTAGTATTCTCTAGTATTCTCTAGTCCTGGTGAGCTACTCAGTAAGACGATAGTCTTCATGCCAGGCCTGCCAAAGATTCCGAAGGAGTTGGACTGAACGATCTGGCAGGGATGGTAGTCCGGCAGCTCGGCGTCAACGGTGCCCTCGTCTGGCTCGAGCTTCGACTCCTCCACAACCTCCTCCTTACGAGTTACGAGTTGCATCGTCCATGAACCATCAGCTCCATTTGTTGACGAAATATGACAGAGTCATGAGCTGATTCAGCATGCCGGGGCACATTCTCCGCGTTCTTGTGGGTTTCAATGACTTTGTTCCAGAGATCCTGGTAGTCCAAGCATTCGTCAGCGTACTTGGGCATCTGAGCCTTGTACTCCTGAGGCAGAGAAAATCTTTGAGACGGACTCAAAGCCCCCAAAAGGGGAATCTGAAGAAGGCGGTGGCGGAGTGTGGATTTTTCGCACCGGACCCTGCTTGGATCCCACAGCATCCCTTGTCCTGGAGCTTGGGCTTCGGTGGCTGCGCTGGGCGCTTCGGGGGCTTGATCGCCTCGGATCCCACGTAGCCGCACATTGAGACATTGCTATTCCAACACATCTGCAGTGCTGGATACTTGGACTGCGAATGGTCGCATCGAAGGAAACGAAAGCTTGCAAACAGTCAAGAAGGTAAAAGTTGTACGAGGGGTGCTTTCACACCACGCTTGCCAATGATTGACTTCTGTTTGTTCGGAGCATTTGGGTCACGATGTGTCTCTTTCGGCATGCGGTTTGTCTGCCATGTCAACCTTCGCTGGGCGGTGAGACTAACTGGAGGATCCTGAGACAGGTCGCTTTGAGCTTCTTTGCGAGGTCGTCCATTCCTTGGTGCAAGAAGGCTCTGAGTCACCCTTTCAATCCCTGTCAGACATCTTCTCACACACCAGTTGCTATGCTATTGCGGGATGAGTGTCCGCCTCCTTCCGGTGCGGGAACTCCCTTTCCCTCAAAGTGGCCGTCGAAGTCTGTGACGTTCTGGACCTGAAAACAGCATGGAAACAAGCACTTGTCATCTGATAGAGACCGACACGGACTCGAGAAAGCAGGATGAAGTCTGTCTGCACCTCGAAGATCGTCATCACAACCCCGACCGGGTTGGCACCGCCCACTGGTAAAGAGCAATCGGGCCCCACACACCACCTGAGCTTCATGCAGCTTGCACGTAGCACAATTGGAGCAGCAGACCGAGAGCCCACAATATGTCCACCGTTCCTTCACTACCTAATTGCCGAAGTGCTTGCCGCTCCTGTCGAAGAACAAGGTGTCGCCAGTATTCGCATTGATGTACCTTTACGGGTAGGTAAATAGGTAGACGGGCAGGTACAAAGTTGGAGCTGAGAAGGACAGAGAAGGACAGAACATACGGATCATCAAACAACAGACAAGGTGAGACAAGGCGCCGGTAGCGGCCAGTGTGGGCATCTGGTTGCAGCGGACAGAAGACACCTGCACAACTGTATCACAATGTACCAGAATGCTCCGCAATGGTTCACAGTGCTTCACACTCGTTCCCGGGTTACTTTCAGCCTCGCGCATGACAGTCGGCAGATACTCTCTGGCACAGTTGGCAGCCAAAGAAGCAAAGCACGAGCACCACACTGACAACGCCACGCCTTCCGGTGTCTGGGACATGGCTTCGATGGTAGTCGAGGGTTCCATTACCACTGGGGCTCCGCCGGCTTTCGAGCACATAAACCTGCTGCATAGCAGCAAAGCGCATCACACAGCTCGGCAGGGCCAAATGTATCTCCCTTTACATGAAAGAGAATCCCAATATTTCAGCCAGCCATGGCAGACGCGCGGGGGCATCTCGTCTTTTCAAACTTTAGCCCTATAAATTCTATAAAAGGGTTCTCTGCGAGAGCCATGCGTTGGCCGCATGCGTTGCGGAGCATCTCTGAAGGGGATGCCCAGGCTGCGGCTTGCTTGCTTGGCTGCCGAGGAGCTTGGAGCGAGCCCAGCGTCCCCCTTCGGAGAACTCGAAGTGGAAGCCTCAAAAGTTGCTTTCAGGATGGAAGTATGAGCTTTGTGCATGGCATACTTCATTCCCAGAGCTTTCCGTTTGCCATGTCTTTGCAAGAAGCCGCTAAGCAGGGCGTCATCACCGCAGTCCACTTTGATCATGCGCCTTGGAGGAAGCATGAGATTAGATCACCTTCAGAACATACTGATTAAAGCCCAGTAGTCAATGCCCAAAACTTGAAGCTCTTCCTTCGATCAGCTGAGCCGCAGAGCTCCGATCCAGTTTGCCCTGGTTTGGTCGAACTTCTTAACCTCCACTTGTGCGCTGAAGTACTCGTAGCTAGCACCGAGGCCACCGATGCGGCTGCATTCGTATCTGGCAGCCGTCTTGAACGAGCGCACGCCACGGCTACGCTGAACACAAAGCTAGCAGCCAGCACTGCCCGCCCTCTACCCGTACGACCACAGGCGATGTCTGGCAGCTTGAGATACAACTCAAAGCCACAGAAGCGGCAGAGCAGCAGACAAGTTGAATCATGAATGAAGATAATGCATACAAGTCACCGGAAGATGTTGCGGGCTGGCAGAAGCTTGAAACCAGTGAGGGCTTCCCCATCCGGGCACTGAACAGGTGAGTCGGCCAATAGCGTGTTCCATTCCGGCCAATCCTGGCTTCTCTTGTCGTATGTGATCGCGGTGTCCAGGAACTCTCCTGGTGCAAAAACTGATGCACACTTTTGATCATTTTTGGTGTCCGCTGGGACACTCTCCCCCCCCTCTCACCGTCTCTCTCTCTAGCTGACTCTAGCTCTCTTCGCACTTGCACTCTTACACTTAGGCGCAGAAAGAGAGCCCGAACTGTGCACTCAAGGCTCCGAACTGAATGACTGGCGCGAAGCGGCACGTGGACTTGATGCTTGCATCTCCTGGCTGCTTCTGAGAATTCTGGCAGCTCCACCCGAGTGACTCTGACATGACTCACTTGACTATGCTGACTCAATCTGACTCAGCAGCATCCTGCAAAGACCTGGCCGAAGGCCAAACTCGACAGTGCCCCATGTGCTCCACAGTAAGAGCCAAAGGCCTCACTCAACAGAAGTCTTTCAGCAGAACTGGCAACACGAGAAGTCCTTACGATGCGTTCACTCTGCACACGACTGCAAAGGGGGCGGCCCATAAACCCACAGTTGGAACCCGCCAAGTCAGCCAAGCCTTGTGGAAGTCCTCGCCGTGGGTGCGATCTGCTTCCTGCGCGAAGGGATGATCCGACTTCTGCGTCCAAACGGAGACGGGGTTCGGCTGTGCTTGCAGCACACTGCAACCCCTACAAAAGTCACAAAGCGATCAGTTAACCGAGCAAAGAACAAAGCAACACATTCGACTGTCGACTGACGCTCATCAGACTGGACCGGCCCGCCTTGTGCATATCCCAGAGGACACCAGGCAGTGCCATGGGTGAGATTAGCTGCCGCTCGTTTTCCAAGTCACATTTCCTAGGCGTGCAAAGTCAACACACACAGACACCTAGACCCTCGGAAGCTCCCAGAATCAGAAGGCCAACCTATGAATGTCAGACACCGCGTCACCACGGAGACGGCACCGCGGCTTCGCATATTTAGGGGGCCATATGGGCCATGTGTTTCGGGGTTCGACTTCGCCCTGCGCCCTCTTCAGGTAGCAGAAAGTACCGATAGCGCTGAGCGCAAAAGAGATCACAAGGTGCAGCTGTCATGCTGGTCAGGGCACTTAGATACTTAGGGTGCACACAAAGACACAAAGGGCATGAAGGAGACACGTTGAATACTTCGAGAGTTGACGCCAAGTCTCTGATAGCCCAGGCTAGGGCTGACACCATCGGCCGCCGGCAAAGCCTCCAAGCCTGCGGCACTGAGAAGGACTCAGAAACAAGACACTAGGAGAGGTTTCAAATTTTGCTTCCCAAAATGCTTGTCACAAGAGTTCTCAGAAGATGCAACAGACTGCAATGGTATCAACGGAGCTGGCCACGGGTGAGTAGGCTTTTCTAGATTCTGCTCGGGACACTTGGACTGCTTGGAGTTGTGGAGTTCTGGATGCCAGTACTGAGCTCTACCCCCACTGAAAAAACCCGAGGAGCACTGACCATGGTCTGGCACACCATAGTCAAGCAGGGCCATCATGCGATCTTCGACTTCAGCCGAACCCACAACCTGCGCTCCACGAGTCGGACAACGCTTGCAGCTTGCAGCTGGGCATGTGAAGCTACACGCCTTCCATTGTGTCTACTCTCTGTACAATTATACTGGAAAGCTCAGATCCACTCAACGTCACTGCGTGACCTCCAGCGCCAGGATCTCAGGACAAGCCGCTGAAGCTTGCAAGGTCATGTTGCCTCCAGCCTTGGACAAGCAGCTATGCCAGCAAATGTTCATGTGGCTTGGTTCGATTCAAATGCTTGCTGGAAAGGTGTGCCGCTCCGAGCTGAGCTGCTGCGGAAGCATTTTGGGCAGTGTCCTCTTTGAAGAGGCAGTACTTCTGGGCTGCACCGTGCGTCGCTGCTAATGAACCCAACTCGGTGTAGACTCGCATGGCCATCCGGCTGAAGTAGTACAGCTCTTGCTGCTGCCTCCGGGCGTAGTTCGTGTATCCTGAATGGCTGCAAGCGGACTGGTCGGACTACAACTGACTACAACGTTTACCATCTCCTACAAAATCCTACAAGTGCAATAAGTACGGTACAAAATGCTACGAACCACTACAAACCTTTGAACCCACTGCTTCCCAAAGTTCCCTTTCCAGCGACCAGGACGCACGGTTCACACACGAAAGCTGTGAGTTCTGGAAGCTGCAGAGAGTTGTACCAATCTCCGTTGACACAGTGAAGGTTTTCTCCCGGCTGCAGGAAGCCTGCCCGGAAGGACTGATATCGCTCGTGCCAACAGCCAACCTTTAATTCCGTTCCAGGCAGAAAAAAGGAAGGCAGAGGCCGCTTGCCGCGCCAAGCATGCGAACTTGGCTCCCGGTAGCTTGGCCGCGAGCAGGTCTCCACCCCAAGGCCGCCCATGAGAAGCAGTGCATCACACTGCTGGAACAGGTGCATGTAGCTGAAGGACTTGGATGCAAATGGAACGATCGCTTCGGCGGAGTTCGCGTCCGGGGTGTCCTGGAGCAAGCTCGTTGACGTTACCCGCGTGAGGTTGATGCCGCTGAGGATCAGCGCCGATGCCCGGAGGTCTGCGCAGCGGGCGGTGATCTTGATGTTGACATGGACTGCCCAGGGACACATGTTCACGTCACGCGCTGTTCATTCCTGACTTTTTGAGGCATAATTTACAGGACAGTCATGCCACACTACCCTGGCCTGTCGTCACTCTCCCTGGGCCGGTTGAAGCACGGCATTGATTGCCGTCGGTCCAGAGGCGAGTACAGTCCTTCTCTGCGCCACTCGTCGACTGGCACCAACACCCAAGCAGGACCGTTTCCGAAGGGCAACTTGCCACTGGACCTTCCTGCAAAGGCATCACCAGGCTTTGCAAATCCCACAACTCTGACCAGAACGAACCTTACACAACACCTAGCACTTCGACAAAATGGAGACGGAGCCAAGATCCTCCTTGTTGGTCCAATACTTGCCAAAAGCTTCACGATCTTGCCACGCCTTGGCTTCGGTCGCATCTGGCACTGTCGAACCTCAAATTTTAATATCAAACAGTCCAAGCTCATACAGTACCAGGGTGCACGAGCCGCAGGCGCTTCAAGATCTCCGCACAAAGCCTGAGCATATCCACCTCAGTCCACATTGAAGCCTGAACATTGCCCACTGAAAGTATCAAGTCACAACACATCACACTTGGCCGCAGCGTATCCTCATATTTTTTCGCAGACACCTTTCGCGAAGCATTTCGTCCCGCTCCTCCACACTCTCTTGCAGTGATGGCGGACGTCGGTCCAGTGTGATTGCTTCTCCAAGAAGCTGTCAGGATAACAGGAGCAAGTCAACAGTCCTTGGCTCCAAACTGCAACTGCTCTAACGAGTCCCTTCCACAAGAAAGACTTTTCTTATTTTCTTAAACACTCCCACGCCTTGCTGAAGCAGAAATGCGCTGGTGCGGTCTTTGATTGACATACGAAAATATCCTTTTGCTAACATGTTCGCAGCGTCGTTTCCCGTTGGGGCAAGATGCAGAAACCTGGCAAGCAGCTTGTTCGAAACTCAACTCTGACAACCTTGCCGTGTGCCTGACCCCATGCCGAGCCTGAGCGGGAAGCGAGCGTCTGCGTCGAGAGCGTCGGCGCCGAGAGCGCCTGCGCCTTTCTGACAGACTGACAAAGATCGAAACAACATGATTCCTTCACAACGTCAAGCATTCACGTCGCATAATCGGCATGCGCAACACTGCCACACAACCATGGGCGCACACGCAGATCTGTGAACAAGATTCTGCAAGTTTCTGCAAGCCACCTAGGTGGTGGGGGCGGCGCTCTGCGGCGACGACCTCACTTGCACAGTAGCATGGCATTGACCCAAAGTGCAGGGTTGTCGCCATGTACAGCAGAGTACACAAACAAAGTGACAAAGGGACAAGCTGAGGCCACGGCGGCGGCGGCGACGGCGACGCCACGACTGCACGCTTGAAACTGGACAGGGTACACGTCCGAAATAAACCCAAGACAACCATCAAACACACTTCAGACTTCCCGCATGTTCCCGGCAGATTGATGCGCGGCAGAAGATCGGCCTGACTGCGTACCCTCTTGGGTCAAAGCAATGCCGTGCTCGCTTTCATCCTCGTCCTCACCAATCATACATACAGTGCGCTGAGACCCTGTGGACCACTTCTCAAGGCAAATATTGCAGCACCGAAATGTTGAAGTTCTGAAGACAACCAAAACCTACAGTAGCTCTCCACTTCTCTACACAAGTCGCCTCCGAATCCTCCGAAGTGCTGACCTCACCTTCGAGGTCCTCATCCTAGGCTGACACTGGAAGGAGGCTCGGAAGCTGTGCACATCTCCAAGCTCGGATCAACACTCGGCAATGATCAACACAGCAGCTTCGCCAGCGTCGTCTTCGGAGTGTTCGTCTTCGTCTTCAAGCCCTTCGAACTCGGCTTCATTGTGCTCGTCACCTAGGGAACGAGAGCGAATGGCTTGATTGCAGCTACACATGCCTCGGGGCCCGCATACAATGTTGAACATGCGCGGGCTTAACACAAAAGAGTGTACACTCGTGTGCCCTCTGCGTGCCTGGGCTGTCCTCCTCAGGCTCAGGCGCCTGTTCATCTGAATCAGGCCGAAAAATCCATGCTCGAGTGGGTAGAACATGCATTAAACATCCCCGCTGAGTGATCCTGCCTCCTCCTCCTTCTCCTCCTCATCCTCCATCTCCTCCTGCGTGTGTCCATCAGCATCCAGACCTTGAAGTCATGAGCAGCTGGCTTCTCAACGGAATCTTTGGGAGAGCATTCACACTCACCGAGCTTCCAACTCACCTCTACGTCGACGTCCTCCTCGTCCACATCCAAAAGTTGGGTGAGGTTGTTGTCAGCTGCGCCGTTCTGCAAGAAGCCTGACGTCCAAACTGTCTACGTCCTGTCCACTCGCGACAACGGCACATCAACAGTCTTGTCATTCATGATCCGTAGATGAGCCATGGTTTGCAGAGTGCCACGTGCAGGCATTCCATGCTCTGTGCAGCCCAGATGGCTGAAGCTGGCCCCACCGCTTGTCACGACTTGAAGATTGCGCAAATACCTCGGCAGGTGTAGCCAGTTTCGGCATTCTGACTCCCCTCGTGTCCCGTCTGATAAAAGAAATGGAAAGTCATAAAGTCGTGTAACGAGAAGCGTCAACCTCATGCAGCGCACGTGCGCCCTCACCGAGACGGCCTTGGAGCTGCCTCCACTGACATCGCGGCTCCTCGGCTGACGGTATAACTGACTCTTGGTTGGGATAGCATTAAGATTTTAAATCTATATTCCTTATTGGGTTTAAGTACCCTTCAAAATGTAAAATGTTGCCCAACTATGACAAAGACAAGGTCCGAGCCCCCCCCCCCCCCCGAAACCCCCTAGAACCCTTGCGTGGCCGCTGGTCCTTCCTGCACTTAGCTCCCCCACCCTATCCAAACTCCACTTACAACAAGCACATGAGCACAGATAACGATTGCAAGGCATTCCTGCTAATGAAGGCCGACAAGCCTTCACGGCTTTCAAAAGCTGAGCACAGTTTCCCAACTTTTGCGTACTTTTGATGTATGTGTGAGACAATGCCATGTCTCCGGAAACTGAGCAGCACGCATCAAGTAGCTAGGCTCATTGCCTTTGGATAACGACGGCGAATGATTCAGATGTTTCGGAAGGAAGCGGAATGCCAAAGGTCTTGTACCACTGGGCACTCCGGATGTGTGAGTTCAAAGTGAGTGGTGTGAACTGACGGGGGCAACAAGAGCCGAGCACAGTCTCAGAATATACTTTGATGTATGTGTGCGACAGTGCCATCTCTACAGAGAATGGGCAACACGCAATATGCACGTTGTGCAACCATTGCTTCATCAAGGTGCTACCATTGGGTGCGTTTCATCAAGCTGCCAGGCGGGAACTCCCGCAAGGGGTCCTCCAGCAAACCTGTACGTCCCCCAAGCTCACTTGCGGTGCTGGTTCAAGGCTTCGGGTTTGCCACTCGGCTGCTCTCCAGCGCCATTTTCGATCTCAATCGCTTTCTCCGGTGGCTTGGGCCGGCCAGGCTACCGAGGAGGCACGTTGAAGTTCAAGAATGGTCAGATGATGTCAGATGCGATACATAACTAGTGGCGATTAGTGGCGTCAACACCGCTGCTAAGTGCCGTCTCAAGCATCCCATAGGCGCTGCATGTTCTCGGATTTGATGCCGGCTCCATCTTCGCACCGGCGCACACTCCTGAATCAGCCTGGCCACAGCATGCTTGACAGCATGCTTTGACAAAAAGGCCAAAACTGAAGCGCAAAAGGTATTGCTTTCCAAGCTGCATAGCACGAACAATGAGTCATCTTGGCTGAACAGGCTTGCAGCAAGTGTGCACTTTTGCAAAACTGCAGGAAAGTACGGCGCAACGGCATGTTTGAGGCACGTCCGTCGTGAGCCTTCAATGCTGCACGAATGCTGCCAAGCAGCTTTCGTTCCCGAAGGGCAACTCTTGGTTGCGATGCTAGACGAGGGCCCACTACGAAGATCCTGTGCTCAGGATGAAACCTCTACGTAACAAAGACCGATGATGAGTGCAGAAGCTTCTCTCACCTTTTCTATTCCCATGCAATAGGACTCGGCAGGGTCTGTGCATTCTGCATATCATTCTGCATTGCATTCGGCTTTGCATTGCGGCTTGGCCTTTGGCATGCATTGCCCAGCCGCACAGCCCTCCCCCCTCCCCCCGCCTGTGGCCCGAGAGCGAAGTCACTGGCCTCGAAATCGAAGACCAGCTCTCCTCGAGGAGTCGACTTGGACTTTCCTTGCCTGCAGCCACTTCAGTACATTTTCAGACATCTACTCTGCCCCCTCGGACGCTTCATAGCTGGTGACGAATCTAAAGAAAAGTTTTTCTCAGAGGCCAGGCACATCATCACGGCAAACTCCTCACTCGCTTTGATCTCCGGCTGGCCCACATTCATTTGTGCCCCATGGTTCACCTGAGCTTCAGTCGACTTTTTTGCCGTGTTCAAAGGTCCTCGAACCGTTCTGGGGCATTAGGGCCCTAAGGCCCGAGGGCCCATCTTTGCAAACACAAGTAGTGCCGCGTCACCGCCACTTTATGCTTAACTTCCTTCTGGTTGCTGCTGGTGAGGAGCTCCCATTCATACTCCTGCGAGATGCCCCCAAGAGAGAATAAGAGAACAGCCTGAGAAAGTGCCTACAAAACGTGCCCTAAAGTGACTCGCAATATGGCTCTCCTGGTTTGGGTTCAGGCCCTGCACCGTCGCACTTGCCAGGCCACCCAGACTTCTCACCTGAGAAATGCCAAAAACCGAGTGGCAAGATATGGTAGGATATTCTAGGAGCTAGTGATTGAACTTAGTCTGGGCTGCAGCAGTGTGGCAAAGCCGAAGGGCTTGAAAATCTCTGTCCACCCAAGAAACTTCACACTGGAGATGTCACCCAGCTTCTCCTGGGGAGACAACGCGCAAGGGGGGCGACATGCAGTTCGACTCTAGAGACAACCCCCAGTATGAAGAAGCTTGTCCTCGTAGGTGAACTCGCGGTCCAATGTGCGTGAGGCATTGCTCCGGAAATCCGCCAAGCCTCCTGCAGAACAAGGCACATGACTCACATGACTCGGAGCCTGGACAGCTTTGGCCCACAAAGCGTGAGGACAGCAGCTGCACACTGGCATCCTGCGTTGAAAAGGGCGGAAGAATGCGTGAAGGACGGCGAGACACTTACCTTCTGCGTCAGGAACTGCCTGGCACGTGTAGCTCTCACTGGCCAGTCCCAGTCACGAAGACATGAACAACGCAAAGTCTTGTCTTTAGTGACTCCAGTGCCTCCGCAGAGTCGTCTTCCAGCAAACTTCTGGGTTCGCGACCAGGCAGCTCTTGTTTTGGGGCCTTTGCTGGGGCTGCGACAGTGCTGCGACAAACAACAAAGCCAGCCAAGATGAGAGGTAGTTGCTGACATCTGAGCCCAAGTTGCAAAGCATAAAGGTCGCCGTCCATGCCAAATTCACGCACCAAGCTGTCGCACCCGTTGAAAAGGCGGCAAGTCTGTGCTCCATGGGAGGTGCCTCAGTTCTCAAGAAGCACAAACCCTGCCCTCCCAGTTGCTTTCCCTTCAGCCAAGGTTCCTGTCCAGTAGAATTGGCAATCTACCTCAGCTGTGCTCTGGGTTACATTGGGTCACCATGGGCATCCTCCGTCCTTCCTGCACACTAGGATACACAAATAATCAAAACAATAAGAACACAAAATCAACTCAAAAAAAACAACTTTAAAACGAAAGGTTCCTCCCACTCTTATATGGCAGGCCACGAAATCCTTGCAACGCTCCTGGCAATCTGCCTTCTCGAACGCCTCGGCCTGCATTGAACGCAAGTGTTGTGTACCCATGTGATACCTCAAGTTCGGTAGCCTCCGTCTCGAAGTACATGCCCCTCTTTCCTGAAAGCAGCTGCCTGACATGCCCAGTGCTGGAGTGCATTCGTCGACGATCATGTTTCTGACATCACGCCACATCACCACATCACCAAATGACATTTACACTTGCTTGTAACCAGCTGCCGTCATGAAATCTGGGCTGCCGTTTTGGCGTCTGCTGTTTCCACATGCTTCCAGCGTTTCTCCGCTGCAGCTTCCGCTTTCCACCACTTCCGTGGCTTCAGCCGCGTCTGCCGTTTGCACAATCTCCGCTGTTTCAACTTCTTACGAACAGGTAGGCTGAGTCAGGTTGAAAACGTGAAGAATTGTCGTGTAAGTACCAGGGTGAATCTTAGAACAAGCTCTCTGGCAACTCTAGTGCATACTCCTTCTCAACTGATGCTGACGCATCGCCTGCCGGTTGAGACTGATATTTGAGCATCCCAGGCTACAGCAGATCATGTCGACTCTCCCCAAACTCCAGTGGCGAATCCGACCTGGAAGGGCAAGCGAACTGGCCCTGAACAATGAGCAGCGGAGGAGGAATGAAGGAACCTCAGAGAGCAGTAGCAAGCCTCATGCATGCAACAGTAGAATGTAGCACATGTACACGCCAGTGGCGTGCACACCATGACCGTTCCATGTTTGAGGCCTGCACCGTCACTGGCAGCGGGAAGGCCCTCTGCAACCAGCGGGTTCGCTGGAGGATGCAAACCCCACTCTGGCGGAATGCAATCGCAAGGGTGCAGCCAGTAGTCGTCCGGCTGGAGCGTCGTCGGGTCGTCGAAGACCAAGGGATGCAGCTGGCCATCCTTCACATCAAGAAGACAAATCTTGGAGAGCCAATTAGGGTTTCAGCAAACTTCAGCATATCCTGCACGAACCAAGACGATCCCCCTTGTCTCCCTGCACCCTCCCCGTCAGCCGGATCTCGCGCTCCCCCCTTTTAACCACACGGCTCCTGCGGGCGCCCCGTTAACCGGATGTCGTGCTGCCCCCGCCTTGTCCACGCCTGGCTCCCCGCGCCCTCTCCCGTCAACCTCGCCTCTCCTCCGTTGACCGTGGCCTGCGGCCTCTACCGTCAAAGTGTGGTCACGGTGAAGCACTCAGCGAGAACCCAACCCAGAGCGTTTTCGGGGGACAAACGAAGAATCCTGAAAAACATACCATTCCCTTGTCCAGACATGTCATCCTCATCAGAAAACTCCTTGACTCCTTGTCGCCTTCTAGATTCTCCCAACAATGCCTAAGCTGACAAGCGAATTCAACATCGTCAGGGCCGACTCCTCCACTTCGTGTGTCAGCGGCTGCCCACATGGAAGCGTGGCCCAGTTCAGGGAGATGTTCTTGGTGACGTTTGCCTCCACGACCGTCTTGCTGCTAGGTATTCCCGGCTGCAAGCAGAGCAGCTCTTCACCTGCCAGCTCGAAGTAGCCCAGCTTGGAATCCACGTAGTCTGCCTCAGGCTTCGCCCGCTGCACAAGCCAGTGTCCGGCACCGCAGGCTGTGGTCGAAGTGGTCGGGACAGAGGCGAGGTACATCACCTCCTGCGGGATCTCGCTGTCTTTCCGATAGACAGGGCCTCCGCGACGGAGGTCGTACGCAACAGGGCAATAGTCTCCAGCAATAATCCACTCAGGGTGCTTCAGCCGAATGCAAGTGGAAAGGTCCGTGCAATCTGTGACCTTGGCGTAGGCCGTCACGGGTGCCCCGCCTACATTGTTGATTCGAAAATGCTTGCAGGTCTCAGGCGGAAAGAACATGAAGTGGGAGCAGACCTTGGAGTGCCGGCATCCGTTGCGACATTTCGGCTCGTCGGAGTACGTCTTTTCATAGACAACTTCGCCAGAGAAGGACTCGCTGACCCAACACATGCTATCCTTCACTTTGAAGATCATCGGTGCGAAGATGGGTTCAAAGTCCGTTCCCGGAAACATTCCAAATACACCGCAATGCATCTCGATCGACTTGCGACGGAGCTGGTCGGCCTCGAGCTCATCGAACATCTCGGCCATACTCTCCCCGGGTGCAAGAGTAATGCTCCCATCCGGTGCAACTTCGAGAAATTGATGGCCGTAGATGGTCCCCACACCCCAGTTGCGGTCATAGGACCAGACCGGAAATCCAAAGCTGCAGTTCACGGCAAAGGAGGTTGGCTTGAGCCCACCCGTGCCTTCTTCATAGCCTTTCGGCGTCTTCAGTCTCAAGGGGGGCAGCTGCTCCCCGACGACCACCTTGCTGTTGCTGTGAAGCTTTCGACTATGTACCCGCTATATCCCGCTATGCTGACATGTGCTGACTGCAGCTTTCAACATGCCCTGCAACGATGAAAGGCTCTGTACACGGTCCCCATGACTTCATTCTGTACTCTGCTATGCTGGCTATCAAGCCAAGCTTGCTGGCTTGAACAGGGTTGACTAGGGAATCTGGAGTGGAAACCCACTTATGACCCTTCACCTGTTTCACCTGTTTCCTTGTTCTGTGTGGTTGGGGGTGCCCAGGGCGTGCCTCTGCATAGGACTCCTCGTAGACAAGTTCCGGCCATGGCCGGGGTCGGATGGCCGCGAAGGAGGTCGTCCTCTTGGTCGATGCGCCCTCGGTTGCGGACACCACGCACACGGCACCGTCCATGGTGGCAAACTCATCCACAGCCGTCACAGCACCGCCAGCAGTGCCAGTAGAGCTTGTGACTGTCCCGGAGGCATCCACGGAGAGCCATGGTTGCTCCGGCGCGCACACCATGCCGAAATCCTTCATCGTCTGTGTAGAAGCAACGGAGTAGGATGGGGTATCATGGGAGAAGATGAGAACCGCAGATGGGTAGGTCATGTACTCCACAACAACCGACACCTTGACCGTCTCTTCAAGCTTGGCTCCCTGGTGTGCTGTGACCTCACATTGTACACTGAAGGCCTTGACCGGAAGATCCGTGGATGCCTGGTAGGAGATCACCCCAGTGGTGCCGTCCATGGTCAGGTTGTAGGCAGCCAGGTTGCAACCGGAGTTCAAGGAGTACCTGGTGGCAGTTCGGGGAAGAGGCTCGAGGTGAATGGCAGCACCGACAGCGAAGCGCTTATCCGCGTACCTGAAGGGCGTGGGGCTCTTGTGCCCCCCCGAGCACTGGCAGCATGCCTGGTTGCTGCTCTGACCATTCACCGGACGATCATTGCAGTCTGTGATTCTGTCACACGACTCCCCATTCTCGTTGATCCAGTCGATAGTGCTGAGGCAGGCCACGCAGGTCCCGTTCTGCCGGACGTAGCCACCTTCACATTCCTGGCACTTCCCTTCTGAAAACAGGGCACAACCTGCACACTCTGTCGAGCTGCGGGGACAGCAGCTTGTCACTGTCAGGTTGCGAAAGAACTGCCTCAGCGTGAGCTCTCCTGGGCACTGCTTGCGCGATTTCAAGCGGCTTGCCGTTGCCCGTGCGTCCCGCACTTGCTGGTGAAGTTGCTCGGCGACCACCAGAGGAACATGTGCCTTGGCCTTGCGCTTTCGGCACTGAACAGCCAGCTTGTTGAGGCTGCTATTGACATCAAGCTCCTGACAGGCATTAGTGAAAAGAGTGTCTTAACTTGCCTAAGTCTGAACTCTTTAACCCAACGATCCTGGAGACGCTGTGCAGCTGCCCAGCTCTCCCCAGCAAAATTCGCAAAGGCAAGGTCAGGCTCGTCAACCTCTTGCAACCGGCCTCAGTCTGAGACAAGATGCCAGCCTTTGGAGTGATCATAGTGCCCGTGACCGCTTGACACACCCGAGACACTCCGAGAAACTCCGAGAAACCTCCTAGGCTTTTAGCTGCACGCAGGGCCACTGGGGTCCAGGTGCGACTTGGCCTGCAGCAATCCGGTTCCAGCTTCTGGTCTTGGAGCCTCCTCACACTGGTCAGTCTCGGCTGCGCCTCACACCCAGGCGGCTGCTTCATGAAGTGCCGACCCCTTCGACAGCACTGGCCAGCCTACATCATTGCAACCACGGTGCTCCGAGGCAGGCAGCAGAGAACGGTAACGAAGCAAATTGGCCCAAGTATGGGCAACATCGGTGTGTGTCCCGCTGCAGGACCTGCAAGGTCAAATGATGGAAGGTTGGATTATGCAAGATTCCGTCTAAGAAAAAACACAACTCTTGCTGGCAGGCCATGGAGTTATGTGGTAACGGAAAATTCGGGCAATGCTGTTGCTGCCTGCAGCAGGATACGAAGGTGTGATCACGCGTGATCCGTTGAGCCAGATTGGACTTCGGCAAGCGCAACAGAGTGCAGAAACACAAGTCGAGCTCGCCCCTCAGCAGTTTCAGATGTTTCACAGCAGCCGAAACAAGCTCGACAGCATCTTGCAACCCTTGCGGTACTGACCTTGTGGGCTGCACATGTTTTCGCACGTTTTCACCATCAGTCCAGGCCATGGCGTCTGCCACGTCACCTCCACAAGGACGGGCGCGACAGGCGCGACAGGCGCGAGACTGGAGTTCAGTGCCTTGGCAGTTGTGTTGGCAGTGGCGTGCAGTCGTCCATTTGTCCATTTCCCAGGTCACATGAACTCCAAATTCCCTACCATTGCCCTCCGACAATGAAAAGACGAAGTCTCCATGAAGTCTGCAGCTGCCCAGTCAGGCAGAACAGCCGCTAAGACTTCCGGCACACCAGGAGCCTGCACAATAGCCGCAGGGCGGGCATAGACTCCAACCCTAAAGCTTAGATGCCAGACGTTATAAGCCCGCCTTGACGGCAATCACTGGCCACCCAAATCTGGCTTCCCTCGGCACCTGCGTGTGGAGCGTTGCTGTGCATGCTTCGCTGGCCGCGGGAGGGAGGGGGAGTTCCAACGCCAACAGTCGGGACAAAACATATGGCAACCCATGCAACACCACCACCACACACACACACGTTGACATCAGCACACACACACACACACAGACACACACGGGGTCCTTCCCCTGTTGGTGCAAGAAGTAGGTCAGCTTGATGGCGCGCGCCCGGCTGCTCGGGCCAAGGCAGAAGCGGTCGCCAAGTTTAGCCCCACGGAGTGTCACAGTAGTGTTCAAGGGCAGGTTGTACAGCAAGAACTGGCAAGAGCCTTCGTAGCCTTCCGACTCCTTCCGCTGGCTCTCGAATTCCCCACCACGCACCACTCGAAGTGAGAGGCTGGGCGTGGAGTTGTGGACAACAAGCAGGTCATTGGCTCTCCACACTTGCTCTCTTGTCTTTTTCATCGGGGGACTCAGTACGAGGCGCGCTGCCCCCTTGTCCACCTTGTCCGCCTTGTCCAGCTCCGCCTTGCTCAGGCTAAGCTGCCATCCAGAGCCCAGAGGCCATGTGAACTCCTTCTCCGAGGCGAGGTCTGCGATGGCCCGTACTGCTGGGTAGCTGAGGAAGGCCCCGCAGCCGTTTGCCACAAAGCGCCACAAAACCTCCTGGCGCACCATCTCCGAGAGGCCAGAGAAACTCGGAATCTCCAGAACTCGCTCAGCTGCTTCAGCTTGGACTGGGAAGCCAGGGCCTCCGATCTCGTCGACGGCATCGTCTAAGATGGACGCAAGCTGCCCACTCTGCTCCGCCAGCGCCTCAAATCGGCTGTGAAGGGCATCCTCAGGGATCTCACAAGGGGCCAACTTCAGAGAAAGGAAAGGCCGAACCACCGAGACAGGAAGCGAAAACGGCGGACGCAGACATGATCAAGTGGCATCTGGGAAAGAGGATCCGAAGATAAGGGACTGGGTTCGGTCTGTGCCCTCTGTCTCTGCTTGCCTCTGCTTGCGAACCAGGAAGACCACAGACCCTAAACAGAGTGATGGACTGAGGCAGGTCAGTAGAAGTGGGAGAACCTGATACTAGATTGTCAGCACACGAAAACTCCCGACGACAGATCCGAGATCTAAGTTGAGATCCGAGTGCGGATCTGAAAGGATCAAAGAGCAGAGACAGTTCCAGCATCGAGGTCACCAAACCAGGAGCTTCGATAGCCCTTATATAAGAAGCTGCAGTTTCTCAATTGACCTCAAAAAGGAACTTCGCATCAAATCCCTCAAAACTGCTGGTTGCTTTCTGAACGGGTCCCGTTTGTTCTTCAAGCCCGTTGTCTGCCACAGGTTTTCAGACACGGGCCCAAACTTCCTGTAACGATCACAGCCTCCCCGCCAATCAGCTCAGTCAGCAGAGGAACCAGCTGCAGGCGAATACGGTTCCCTTGGCTGGCATCTGATCATGGAACGGATGGAAGCAACTGAGGTGGAACCACACATGGCGCAAGGCCTGACGCGAACAATGCGGCAAAAGAAATGCAACCTCCACGTCCGAAACAACTTGGTACCAGCTTCGTTGGTACATTGGCTCAGCGTTGGACGCATCCTCCTTCCAATCCTGCCGTCAGGCCACGCAGATCTTCGAACCGAGGACAGAAACTCCACGCTGACATCCTCATAAATCCAATGCCTGGCCCTCAGAGTCCAGGAAGGCCTCTTCGGGCAATTTCGAGCAATGTTCACACGTTGCAGAAGCTTCAGGACTTCGATTCTGGGCTGGGATTGGCCGGCGCTCTTCATGCCGAAAAAAAGCCCTTACCAGCAACTTCGCACGCATCTTCCGGGTGAAGCGGCACTATGCGACATGCCTTCAGCTCGCGCTTGCGGATGCCCAGAAGGGGACGCGCGAAGCGGCCTTCGAGGATTCGCATGCCTGCCAGGCACTGTTACGCTTCTGTTTGCACATGGACGTCGTGCAATATATATTGATTGCCTGCCCCAAGCTGGCAACGAAGCATGAAGCAGATCAAACTGTAGCTGGGCACTGAGGTGCACGATTTCCGTGCACGTCGTTGTGTGGCAGAAGTCTGAGTGGTTTCGCTCTAGGAGGAGGACACGTCATACGAATGTTTGGGCCATGAATACGAGCACTGGCTCCCTGTCCTGTAAAGCAACTCAAGATTAGCTAGATCAAAGAAGAGAAGCATATTCTTATTTCGTAAACTCAAAAACCCAAGGGGAAAGCTCATCACGAGCCCCGCAGCATCAAACGCCTGGGGGTTGGGCTCAACAAAACCGGGACGGCGGCAAGAGTCCCCACAAAGGGTGTGGGAGGGAAGAACTCACACACACACACACACACACAAGAGCCAACTGCAATGCAAAGACAGGTTCGAACAACCCATCAAAAAATCTCAAGCAACGTTCTATTTTAGATGTCAAAACATATAAATTCTTTTGAGTTGAGCGAAGTAGGGTGATGTCACCTACGGTGAAAAATCACATCTTTTGCACTCGTATGCACTCCTCTTTCTTTCAAAAGCTGCGGACGGACCCCTGCGCCCCGCTCGCAGCAGAAGAATGCAGAAGATCTAATGCACTCGGCTGAGCCGTACTCCTCGTCCTTGTTCACCCGCGTCTTTGATTCTCAACGCTTGAAGGATCTTGCAGGTATGTCTAGTTTGTCTGTCAGCATGTTGCGATGCGCATGACGGATCAAAGCCGAGAAACACAACGAATCCTTCACAGACTTGGGCGGTTCTGAGCATTAAAAACACTCTCGGCAGATGAGGTGCCACCCAGTCGGGCGAGGTGCCCACCACGGAGGAACCTGAGGAGCTGCGTCTCCACCTGCTTCAGGTTTGCCCACATTTGCCCGCGATTGACACGCCTTCAACCCCCCTTGAACCCTTGTGCTTCGCTACCTGGTCCTCGGCATGGTGAGCGAGCAGTACAGCACCTGTGCAGCCCGCCGAAGCCTCCAGGGCTACAGGTTCACCACGACAGGAGATCTCAGAAATCTCAGAAATCTCAGGCCTCCAACTGCTCCAGGAGCTGCAGCGCCTCCTAGCGCTTTGAAGAGCAACTCACCCTCGAAGGCACATCTGCAAAGTCAGGCAAAAGGATGGCGGCATAGCGCTTCAGCGCCTGGCGACGCCAGTTGCGGGCCGCTGCCTGCAGACCACCTGGAGCAGCCTGGCGCCATGTGTTCCTGTTTCTTACATTTCGTCTCCCGTCCTCCCTCCTTCCTGTCTTCCTCTCCCCTTCACGGGCACTCTCGGTACGTCGGTATATGTCGGTATGTGGCTCGGGATGTGGCGCTCAACGACTCAATGCGCCCACCTTCAGCCAGGCCCCTTCCGCACGGCGGAGGTGACTCTGTGCACCGACTGACTGGGCCAATGCCTCAACAGTGAAAACTTAGGAGAAAACACGAGACAACGTAAGATACTTCTACATCTAAAGGCTTCACCTTCTCACCCTCTGACTCTGTCAGTGCCTCCACAAAGGTTTCTTCCGATGCAGACTCGGGCCTGGATGGAGAATCGGCGCGTCGCGCAAAAAGCTGAGAAGGCATCTTATGCGGCGAAAACATCTGCTGCTCATGCGCAGGTATATGCGCTTTCAATTCCACTACAAGGCGTGGCTAGACGTGCGTGATACGCTCTCATCCCGGGCCTGAGGCCATGATTGAAGTGAAGCACATGCAGCTGCCAGCCATACTTCTGGGCTACCTGGCACAGCACATTATTATTGTTCAACGCTGGTTGACAATGTCAATGATGTAATGTGCCCAGAATCCCAACCCAACTCCTCTCTCTTCTTCTTCTTCTTCTTCTTCTTCTTCTTCTTCTTCTTCTTCTTCTTCTTCTTCTTCTTCTTCTTCTTCTTCTTCTTCTTCTTCTTCTGCAGGGCATGGGGGGGTCCCCCGCGCACCAGGCGCGCCCGGAGATGACTCTCTCTCTCTCTCTCTCTCTCTCTCTCTCCTTGTCGGAACCACTCCCAACGCCTTGGACACCAGAAGCAGCATAGCCACAGAATCCGAGCCGCCACTGACGCAGAGCAGCAGCGGCAGTGGGCCTGCGTCCAATCCGCAGGCCATGAGCGCCTGGGCCAGATCGTTGACGCTTCGCTGACATTTGTCACCCGAAAACACCAGCGCAGCTGAAGGAAAGCTGAATCGAGCGAATTCAAAAGGCGCCTTCTCGACCCTCCCGCACAGCGGACTCCTTACACGAGGTGCGAAGCACGGTTCCCACCTCCGTGTCCAGAGCCTTGTGTACCAGCAAGGCAAGGATAAAGAGGGTGGGAGCACTTCTATAAAAGTGTGCATTGCTGTCATTGGTCCAAGCAGCGGCCACAGCCAGAGAAGCAGTGAGACCACCGTGGCTGGCTGTCGACATCGCATTCTTTGGTTGCCAGCAGCAAGGATGTTCAGCATGCAGAACCCCTGCACACGTTGTTATCAACGCCTCATTGGATCGATCGTTGCAGGCATGTCGGCTGTTTCTCTTGCCCAAACCATCTTTCCATAACCTTCAATTTCCGTTAATGATTCACGTGAGGTCGGTATGATTTCTTGACATCCTGTGCTTGCCCCAATCTTGGATACATTTGGATACACATGATGTGAGCAGCTGTTCTTCGAGGTGGCGGCAACAGGCGAAGACCAAAACTAAACAATAACAAGCATCTGCTCATGCAGTGACTCAACATGACACGAAAAGGACGCCGAGACATCTTCATGAGCTTCCCAAGTACTGGGCCTTTTGATCCTCTTCCTGCACTCCGCGCCACGGTGTGAAACATCCCGGACCAAGTCTCAAAGATGAAGAAGGGAAGCGGTTCGGCAGTAAGCGTTCCCCACTACGCAAATCATGATGCCGAGTCGGTTCGGGCGAGTGCCACTGTGGCGCAGCTGTACACGCAGTGACTGCGGATCCTCCGAAGCTGAGGGCCCAGTCTTGGCGCTCTTGACAGTGGGCTCATGCTCGAGCTTAACGTGATGGGTTTCAAATAAGCTTTGCTAAAAGTGGGGCGGGGCGAGGGAATCCATCGACAAGAACGCGAACTGCTCTACATAGCGGCACCCTACATATTTGCCAGGTACTGCTGGAGCCCTCAGAACCAGATGATCTTGTCCTGAGCACAAAAACGTGATACCGGTCCAGATGCAGCATTTCTTCCTCTGCAGCTTTACAGATTGCAGCATGATCCAAGGTTTGGGGTACATGGCACGCGACTTTACGACAATGACAGCATTGCCACGCAGTACTTACGCACTGACTTCTGTTTCAGGCTCAGCTCCGACACAACTACGCAGGGCACTTTGCACACAAAGGGTGATTAGAACATTTAAGGGCAGTGACTATGACGAGGGCTGGGATATCCACAACATGCTTCACAATGCTTCGAGCGGCACGAGTTGGTCTGTAGCTGCGCTGCCTTTTTAGGCATCCCCGTAACTCGCAGTCCTGCGGGAACGGAAGAGCTCAGATGCTAGAGCGATCTAGAGCGCAAGCTGCCTCTTAGCGGGTTCGCCAGCCATGCGCTTCATGGCTACAGAGACACGAGAAGACATGGCACATTGAATGCGAGCTCAACCCGATGAGACAATGCCGAAGCTAGTGACTTGCAAGTGCACGCGCCTTTGCAACATGTGCCGTCGTGTGTCTAGCAGGCAACGCATCATGATCCTTTACGTGGAACTGACCGCCGCCGCCGCTCGGCGCATCAGCGCCGACGCCTTAAGGCTCGATAGACTGACGACAGGAATGATCGGATAAGCAACAAGGAGAGAGTCCAAGACTGACCTCCGCTACACTCCTGTTCGGCCCGCGATCGAAAAGCTCATGAAATGCTGTTGTCAGGCCTCTTTGACTTTTTGGGTGAGCCCACCATGAAATCATCAGTCAAGGTCTACAAATACAAAGATGGGATCTCACCCGCCTGCTACACACAAAGAAGTTGCAAGGAATCGAAGCTGGGTGGCTGGCCGCATCTGAGGTCACATGTTTCGGCGACTCCGAAAAATCCTCCTTCCCTGCAGATGGACATGAGTGCACGCACGGTGCAAAAAGCAGCTGTGTTGAGAGCTGTAGGTCCAATGTCGTGGCAAGATGCAGCAAAAGGACATGGGGAGCTGGGACAGCATCAAGTTATATCAAGTTTCACATCTGGGAAGGCTTGTCATCAGCTTGCCTGGCTCCTTCGCCCTTTTGAGTGCAGTTAGCTCTCGCAGGCGGCGGCCAGACTCAACCTGAAATTCAGCGACAGACAATGCGCCAGCAAACAGAGAATTTGGGAGAAGCACCAATCTGTGCAAACCCCGGCATCGGAAAGACACAGCTGCGGTTCGTCACATGTTTTGAAACACATCTGGGCTTCGGACCCGTTCCTCAACCGACCGCGCTCCTAGGCCTTACATTGAGAAAGGCAGACCACTAAGGCAGAGACAATCAGCGGAGACGAGACAACCTATGCATCTTCACAGGCCTCACAACGAAGTTGACAGAGTTCGATCCGCTCAAGCTTCCAAGATCCGGAGGGCCCGCCAAGCGTTGAAGAGACTTTGTGCTGAAGAGGCAAGGGCTTCTCTTGGATTCTCGGCTATGGCAGAGGGACTGGGCTTGTGGCTGCCGTCAGTGTGTGGCCGCAGGCCTAGCTGAACAGACGGTGAAAGCTGCTGAGAGCGGCTAATGTGGCCTGCTATGCGAGTCTACATCTCCCCCCAGAAGAACAGCAACCGCTCGATTCGTACGGTCAACACATCTTTTCAGAATGTACTCCGTGTGGCCCTAAGCAGTCATAAATAGAGGATGGAGAATACGCGCATTAGCCCTCGACCCATTGTAACACATTCACAAGAAGTTTCGGCACCATGCCCCAAACAGCCCGCTCCTTTGCACTCCTCAAGTCTCTCCAAGGCAACACTGAAAGAACGCTGAGGCATCCGCAAGCGCTGCCAAAAAGGAAATGGGAGGCAGGACCCTCGGAGCCTTATCTCAGAACTCGCTGAGGGCATCTCCATTCTCGGTACTAGCCGCTTTCTCCGGAGCATAATGGGCGCTCACTCGGTGTTCACCCTCCCGTCTTCGATAACACTCAGCTTGTGGCTCAGCTTTCAATTTTGTACTAGGCTGCTGGTTGTCAACATTGTCACTGCAAGCTTCATGTGGAATTCAAGCCGCCAAACGTAGTCTGGAGATGTTCGATCTTACACCCCAAAACTAGATCAGGGCCGGACGCTCTCTCGCCAAAGGCTCGTCCTCCTGTTCCTTCGTGAGCTCTGGATCGCCACACCTGCCCAGCAACATTGACTGCCCGGCTGTGAAGGGCCCATATACCCTATCCCTCCCCCCAACACCCCACCCCCCCCCTGCACTCGCCAGCATTGGCCGGCCTCGGAGTGGGGTTTGGCGTCCCCGACCAAGCCGTTGAAGCGCTCGACCTGAGGGCTACCAACAAACCACAAGATGGGCCGCCAAAAGGCTTTTGATGTTCAGCTCCGCAACATGCTTGCATTTGCACATGGAGCTTGTATGAAACTGGAAGATATATCTGCGGCTTAAAATTGGTGGGCGATGTGTGCCTTCAGAACCCCAAAGCTTCAAACGATGCATTCGCGATGTGATCCATTGATTTATCATCCAGGAAATCCGTGTATTGAAGCTTTGTGCTGGAGAAGGTATTAGTACGCCAAACTGTTAAGCCATGTCAAACTTGGAAAACATCAAAGCCACGTTTGCAGCTGAACCCAGTTGCCATGACAATCTCAATCTTGAGTCTACGTTTCAGCGTGCCTGATCTGGGGCAATGAACATGTGGTTCTGCACCTACCATTCAAACAAAGTGCCTAAATGACCTCGAAACAGCGTCTGAGATCCAAGCAGACCTCGAAGCTGAGACAAAATGCTGAACCCAAAGTCTGGACGACCTGCACAAGGATCTTACGAAAGCTCCCCGAAACCCATGACAAGACGATCAACCGAACTAAGTCAGCTAAGCAAGCCTTGCGCCACTTGGTGGCAAGGACTGTCTTCAGGGCTGTCCAGCGCAGATTCCTCGAATCGTCAAATTGGTTGGAGCGTTGGGCTGCCCGGCTAGCCTGCAAACTATTCTTAACGCGCCGAACGCAATGCACTGGTAACGGCGCTGGTAACGGCTAGTAAGTAACAACGACCTGTTGTTCGGATGAAGCTGGTTTTATCAGCCAGCAATTCAAATGCCCCCAGCTCTGCAAAGTTTCGTAGAAATACCTCACTCACACAGCCCGCTACGAGCGGGAAAACACAAGCACCATTTCTGCGACACTGCACCTGGTGCAGGCCCCTCGGAAACTTCACATACATGCCAACTCAATACTTCGACGACGCCGGCTTTAGCTAACCCAGCACCGAGTTGTGAAGCTATGCTGAAATCCCGACTGGGGCAGATGCCACCGGAGTTCCTTGTTCTTTGAGCGCTCTGGTCAAATCCTGCCACACGACATTTCGGCGCCATGATCACGGCAAGAAGCTAATGGCGTACCTCGCCGAACTTGGCGAAGGCCATGGACGCCGCAGCTTCTGTGCAAGCGCGCGACCCATCAGCAAGTGCCAAAGGTCTCTCAAACTGGAAATGCTTTGGGATGGTCCCATGCCAGCTCAACCACTGTGAAGTCGGAACCAAAGTTGCAAACTTTGTCATGTAGGCAATTCTTGTTAAACTGTAACATGCAATGCAAACAATGTTAAACAAGCATTCTGCAGCAGTCATGTAGGCTCGTTTGCCTTGTGCCATCTGGCTTCCAACAACTCCTGCTCTTGGCATTCGAAAGCCTTCTGCACGTCACTAACATCCCACATACTCATTGCAATTCTTGTGTTTGTTGCCAACAAACGAAACTCCACTGAGACGGAAACAACACGTTTTCGGCATGTTCTGATTTCGGGCGATGTGAATGTCCATGACAGCGAGCGTTTCAAACAAATGGCGAAACACTTGCACTTGCACGATTTCTTCGGAGCTGCGGCAACTCGCATGCACATGGATGTAGAGCGGTGAGAGATCACATGAGGCGACAATATGCACAAGAAAACGGAATGACCCATGGAAGCCTGTATAGAGAAGTTGGTGCACCATCAGAAACCGAAGCAGAAGAGCTTCTAGATTTAGACGAAGATCAAAATTACACATGAGGGTCAGATGTTGGAACTGTAGGTAGGAGTGTCGTAGGTAACACAGCATCTGGTCAAGATTTGGCAACATCCCTAGTATCAGGGCGGCACAGCCCGCTTTAGAAGGGTTAGCGAGTTCAGTAATGAGGAGAGTTGCCACTACTTGATTTTCATGGAGCCCCGCGTTGCCTACCGCCAAAGGCCACAAGGATTGAGACCAACATTGATACTGCAACCACCGGCTA